CCAATACCAGCGGATGTTATTAAAAAATATTTTTGTTTAATGCCTTCCGAAAAATTAATGCAAGATGAATGGGAAAAACATGGAACATGTTATTGGCAAACACCTGAAGATTATTTCGAAAAAATCAATTATCTCTATTCAAAGATAAATATACCTAATAATATAAATGATATTTTAAATAATGGAACTTTAGGATATAAAAGTATTAAACAAAGTTTTATAGATATAAATCCACAATTAAAATGGGAAGAAATTAATGTTATGATGCGAAAAAATAAATTACATGAAGTTGCTTTTTGTTATGATCTTAATTTTAATCATATCAAATGTATTTGAAATAATTTTTTTTCTTCTACTCATTTATGCTTTCTTTTTTTTTCTCAATAAATCATACATTTATAAGTATTGTCACAATAATCGATATAAGAAAATCAACAACAGTATTTATGAATAAAAAAAAGTCTATATTCATATCAATAAGGATAAATTAAGTAAACGAATCGATGTGTTATATAATTGTAATCCACACGATAAATGTTATTTATTTGTTTCTGTGAATTTCGGATATAAAATCAAATTATAACGAATAAAAAACCTTTTATTAAGAATTAATATATTTTTCAATCAGGGGCGTACCGAGGTCTCGAAGCCAGGGGGGCTGCGTAAAATCTTAGTACGTCAAGTTCTAAAAGCAGGGGAGGGCGCAACACCCTTTTTGCTTAAATGTAACACCAAAAAAACCCTTATTTTTGGTTTTATTGACCAAAAAAACCAAAATTTTCCGAAGCGGGGGGGGGCGTAACACCCCACGCGCCCCTGTTTTTCAATACTTCTAATGATATTCGTAATGGACACGTTCTTTACATATGTATTATATTCTAGTCGTGTGTTAACCTTGTTTGCGTGTCTGATCGCTTTCATACTAAGTACAAGTCTGTTGAGAGAAAAAGATATAGAAAAAATATGTAGATAAATAAGCATAATGACAAGAAAAACATTACGATGAATTCTTCGAGTTGTTCTAATTCTTGTCTATACCAATAAATTGCAGGATATAAACTGCTTAATGTTTGTTTTATTAAAATATATTTAAGCAATTTTTTAAGCGTACCTTTTTTTGGAATATTATGAATATAAGAAACATGTAAACTTCTATCGAAAGATATCGAATCAATTTCGATGTGTGAATTATTTTGAATAAAACAAAATAACATTATTGTGGTTAATTAATTTAATGTTCCTATTCTTTCAAATAGGTGAGTAATTGTCTAAAAAAATATTTTGGTATATTTAAAATGAACATCATCAGCTATCTGAATTTGACATTTCTTAAGTTTGTACTTTCTATATAGTGTCAAAGAATGATCTGCAATGAAACTTTTCCAAAAATGCGAGTTAATTAGTCGTTTTTACACAAGTAAATCTTGATTTCGACAAAATGTAGTTATATTTTACATATGTAGCAGTTCAGTTCGGCGAGTGATATTAACTCGCAGATTTAGATCATTTTATTTATATTAAAATACGAAGGGGACATCTATCGTTAACTGATCTATTGGTACTACGGTCCATTTTGAATGAGTCATTTGTATTGTTCTGTTCTCTCTCTATCATATGCGCAATCAACATTTCCAATTCCAATTGAATTACTATTTTTTTTAAATATGTCTTGGCTACTAAAACAAGCTGAAGATATTTTAAATCGAGTAGATCAACAAACAAATGCTGCACTTCATCAACAGACTTCAAAATTACCACCAAAACAAAATCAAGTTGAAATCATTCCTGACATTCCTTCATTTACTTCTTCAATACCATTAGATCAATCTAATATAAATCCTATTCAACCGAATCGTCCTCCAGTAATACCAACACGTCGTCCTAAAAAGAAAGATGAATCTGATCTTATGAATTATCTTAATAGTTCAACACCAATCACTACGAATGAAACAAAGAAACCAACTCGTATTTCATCTTCTAACAATAAAAGACGAACTAGTAGTTCATCTAGTAATCCTATTGATGATTCTCAACTAATATCATCTCATAATAACACAAAAGAACTTGTACTAGTAAGATAAAATTGTTTTTTCTTCTAATATTCATTTTTTTGATCAATTTCTATATAGAATATTCCACCAATAGAAGATTCTAATATACATAATTCTGAAAAAGATTTCATTTCTTCACTTCAAGCTCAAATACAAATATTAATACGTGATAAACAACAATATGAAAATGAATTAGAGTTTTATAAACGTCAACAAATTCAATATCAACAACAAATAGTTGAATCTGATGCTTTATTACGTGATTTACGTTCACGTGAATCAGATTCGACAGAAGTTTTATTAGCAAAAGATTCTCAAGTAGCTTTACTTCGTGTTCGTTTAGCTGAAACTGATAGTTTATTACAAACAAAAACTAATCAATACGAACAATTACAAAATGAATATTCTCATATGTTACAAAATTCATCAAGTATGCAATCCGAATCATTAGATTTTTTTAAATCACGTATAACACAATTAGAACATGAATTAGAAAGAAAAATAAATGAAAATGAACGTTATAATAATGAAAATGAACAATTAATTGAACAATTAAAATTAACTGAAAAACGTTTTAATGATGAACATTTACAATTCTATGAACAACAACAACAAACAAAATATGCAAAAAATTTAACTCATCAATTAGAACTAGATATGAATGAATATAAAACTAAAGCACAAAGAATTTTACAAACAAAAGATAAATTAATTATGAAACTTAAAGATATTGTACAACATCGAAGTAGTACACCAACTATTGGAGATCAACATGGTTAGTGTAATTAAATTCTTATCAAGAACTAAAATTCTCTATCAGATAAAAGCGATTATACAGATTGAAATCATCTTGTATGAATCCGGCATGATACAAGATTATCTATATATATCAACCACTGACGACAGGAAAAGGCTGTCATTTCTATCAGGGAACAAAAGTATCTTTATTGAATATAGAGAAAATAATTATATATACTTTTATGTTGAACAGAACGGCTTTTGCTCGAAATATCTCTCTAATCTAGGCACACATTGATACCCAGGCAGACAAGACCTCTAAAAAAACGCGTTTAAAATTCGTAAATACACCGTTTTTACGTATCAGTACACAAAGCTAACGAAGGTAAAAATGTGCGCTTTTCCAGATTTTATTTTCGTTAAACTTTCAAAATTTCTACACCGTATCTCTTCGGTTTTTTTGAGTTTTGTCTGTCTGGGTAGTTCCTCTTACTTCTGAAATCTTGCTAGTGTGAATACATGTCGAATGATTGTTTGACACTTCTGTATTTTCTATACGATATTATTCAACTCTTCCTTCACCAACTCAGGATCATAATCTTCTCATTGAAACACATCCTATATTGAATCTTTTTGAATAAATCTAATGATCTTCGCAATTAAAAGAGATTTTTTTATTATTATATTTCACTGTATTACAACTCTTATGAAATTTGTTTTTCTTCTAGAAACTGAAACTATCAACACTCAAGATGATTCTACTATTCTTGATATTAGTCTCGTCGGAAATTCATCCTCATCCATAGCTTCTAATTGGGCATCTATTGAATATGAAGAAATAAAAAGTGAAAATGAATTATTTAAACAAGAATTACAAGCACGTGAATTAACAATTCATACTCTACGTAACGAACTTCAAGAAGCTGAATTATTAATTCAACATAGTGATGAACAATATCATGAACAACTAAATCAATTAAATGAACAATTGAAAGATGGACGTTCACATTTAACATTAGCTGAACAAGATTATCATAAATTAAAACAAGAATTAATTTCTGTCAATGATGATTTCCATAAACAAAAACAAGTTTATCAAGGACAATTAAATGAACGTGAACATGAAATTGAACGTTTACGTTCACAATTAACTTCGAAAACAATAAATCATGTTAATGATGATGAATTAGAAAAACGTTTACAAACATTAACTGAATCTTTAATACATAAACAAACTATAATTGAAACATTACAAACAGATAAAAGTTCTTTAACCATGCAATTAGAACGTTTAGAAAAACGTTTGGATGATTATGAAACAATAACATCAAAAAATTCATTTCAACAATCATCAAAACCTTATTCAACAACATCAATACCAATTGATGATAATGAACATTATGATAATTTACGTTATCGTATGCCATTATTACGTGAAACACCCTATGATGTTGATTTAACGAAAAAAGTTAAACGAGCAGCAAATGAACTCGATAGACTTGGTATTCGTTTAACTATGTTTCTAAGGCGTTATCCAATCGTACGTCTGGGTGTTTTATTCTATGTTATACTTCTTCATTTATGGACATTTATTGTACTTTTTACATATACACCAGAAAGTCATAGCAATACAAATTCAATTAATTTAAAAGATAAACTTTAAAAACGATATTATATTAGAATATTTATTTTCGTTTTTCTTTTGTAAATGAAAAGTAATTTTCTTTTTGGAATACAAGGTTATGAATCAAATTTGTAATGTGTTACTATAGTTTTAAAAATTAAAGTATTTATTGGAATTGTAGAATTGACAGAAAATAGTTTGTATATTTATGACTTTTATACTATGTTTTCATTCTGATGATTAGTTCTTAATATATAAAACGATATATCAATGATCATTGTCATAATATGAAACTTAATGTGATCAGAAGATCTGAATCCAATGTAGCAAAAGCTATATTAAGCAAATTTTCAATTATGAAGATTTAAAGATTCGTAAATAGTATAGAGAAGAACTAAAAGAAGTTTTTTTTATCCTTGTAAGTGCAAAAGAACTATTTATAATTGTCTGAACGTGGTTATTTGAGAATACAGAAGCCGAACAATTTATGGGCATATTTTAATATGGGTATTCAAACATACTCATCATTTACAAAGTCATGTTCATCTACATTAAACAACAATATAGATCTCTTCTTTTTTACAAGTGATATCATTAGTGAAAAGCGTGCCCTATGTTCATTTGTTACTCTTCTTCTAAGACTATAATAATGATGTTGTGTAAGACGATAGAACATCTTAACAAATTCTATAAGTGATAGAAAAACTAATACGATATTTGAAATGAGATCAACAGCAGTTATAGATACGTCTTGTGTATAATTCTCAACTAGTATTGTTTGACAAATAACATCAATGGGAACATTATTTTTTTGAATATCTGATTGCCACATTGTAGACGAATTTTTAGATAACGGAATAGATGATGATTCAACAAAATGTTTTTATATCGTCCATCATTCAATCTGATGAAGTTGAAAGTAAAGATATTGTTATTCGACATATCATTTTTAAACATTGATATGCTCATTCGAAACAATTGATCAGTTGTATTGCTTCTTTATAACATGTATCAATTATATTACATAGAGGTATATTGATAACTTCAATTATACCAGGTTGCACAATATATCGTGCAGACCATTGTCTGATTTTACATAACCATTTTGTATACTTTCACTTCGTGTAATACTCGAATACTAGAGCGCTGGTATTAAGACTAATTTCTTGAATAATAGAATGATATTGATGATATTTAATATCTGGTTGTAATGCATCAGAACAGACTGGAAAATCAGTAGCTATATGTTTAATAGTTGAGTCTGTCATCTGTAAACGATAATGTATTTTTTATTATTATTCATATTTATATGAAATATATCCATTGATTTCTGAATGTTTTGATAAATGTGCAGATGAATCATTCAAATGAAATCATATAAAAACTTATTTGTACTTATTTTGCAAAAATGAAATATTTTTGTATATGATATACCAATGAAAAGAAGGCATATATTCTTTATATAACTGTAAGGATTCGAAATTGAATGATTTATTTATTCTGTGTAGGCTAAAATTTGTGGGAGTGGGTGCGGGGGTGAATTTATGATTACACCCACACCCTCAACAATCCTTTTCGATTATATTCATATCAATTAATCTTAATGATTAAAAACCTATTTCCTTCTAAATGACAAAAAAAAATACAAACAAATAATATCATTAGTTAAAGGTGTGCATTATGTTCATCTGGTACTCTCCGTCGAAAAATATAACAATGATATCGTATAAGACGATAGAACATTTCAATAAGTTCCATAAGTGATAGAAAACTAATACCAATCCATAAACCTGTATTACCACCGATATTTGAAATGAGATCAACAGCAGTTATAGATGCATCTTGTGTATAAGCTTCAACACGAGTTGATTCAGATACAATATCAACTCCTATATAGTTTTTTTGCATTTCTGTTTGCCATATTTCTGACCAATTTTTCGGCAATGGTACACCAGATTGTTCTACAAGCGGTTTATATTTATATGCATATTGTGTAGATATAGCTGATACCGATGATGTTGTAATAGTAAAGTCAACAAATGAACATGCTTGTGAACATTCAGAACAAAACTCATTCCAGATACTATCTGTATTTGTAATACGATTTGTTGCATCACTAAAACAAGTATCTGTTTGGTTACATAATAGTGCTTCAAGTAGTTGATTTGTACCATGTATAACAATAGTTCGAGCAGTAACTTCATTTGGATTTACACAATTACATTCTTGATAACTAATTTTCGAAATTAATATTATTATTTTTTAATGAATAAAAATATACTCACACATATGTTTGTATACATATTGTAGTGCAAATAGCTTGTGAATAAGTATAATCAGCATTTGTAAATCGATCATACATTGCTTGCATTGCAGGAGAGATGTTATTCGTACAATCTGAATAGGGTGGTGGTAATAGTTGACTTATTCTTTTCTTGTAGCCTATTTTATGCTTACGACCACCTGCAAGTTCTATACCAGCTACTTCAATGAGTGGTAATTCTGTATTATCATGAACCATAATCATCATACCAACTGATGCATCTATATGACAAAAAAAAGGAAAAACGTTTCTTAAAACTAAAGTATTGAATTTACCTGCGGATACATATGGAAAATATTGTTGACTCTGTGCATAGAATCCTAATTCGAGTTTACCAGAACCTCCATTATCAGTAGTTTGTCGAATTGTACTTCCATTTGATTTCATTTTAGCATTAAAAGTATAGCAAAAACCATAAGTAGATGATATAAATGGAGTAAAATCAGTATAGTTACAATATTGTCCATTATATACACAATTTAATAACATTGATTGCAAAGAAAAAAGATATGGCTTGAAATCTTGTTCGGAATTGAATATATATTGCAAAAAATCACGTATATAGGAAGCTTGTTGTGCTGTCATAGTGCTATTATCGGTTGTATTAGTTAAACCACGTGAATTTGTATAATTCAGAAAAGTGTCAATGATTAAATCATATCTCACCGGTGCATAATTACACACACTAACTGCTGGAAATGCTTGAGAACGTTGAACAACAAAAGATACTGATGTTTGTGTTGGATAACCGAAATAAGCTTGTATAGATTGTGTTATAAAGAAAATCATTACACCAGTAAAAAACAAAAATGAAATTGTCCAAAAAATTCGATTATATACACTTCTACTTCGTGCAATACCTGGAATACCATGAGTTGAAGTATTAAGACTAAATTCTTGAATAATAGAACGACGTCGACGATATTTAATATCTGTTTGTAACGCTTCAGAAGTAATTGGAAAAACAGCACCTATATGTTTAATAGTTGAATCTGTCATATCGCAAATGATTTCATACAATTGATTGTTATTGATTGATATATAGTATTTGAAGAATAATATTTAAATGGTTTTATTTGCATTCAATATTTTCGTGACATTTGGCAAGAATATACTTTTATGAAAAGTATTATATGTAGGTTATTATTTTTGCGTTTCAAGTGTATCAATATGGACGATCTGAATATGTTATACAAATGAGAATGAAGACTAAAAAGGATGTGTCAATATTTATAATACATTTAAATCTACAATTATGTTAATATACTTGATTTTCGATTAGTTATCAAAAAGAACGATTTATTTGCGTATCACTGAATCTTTTTTCTAATGCAATGATATTAATTCGTGGTGCTAAAAACTTAACCATTATTTATAGGGCTGGATGAAAATAAATATCTAATATATTCTATTTTACAAATGGCTGCAATACGTATAAGAAAAAAGAAACTAGCAGAGCATGTGAAACGAAAAGAAGCATTACATCAATGCATAAGGTATAAAATATAGACGTTAAGAGAACACTTAAATATTATGAAAAATAAATAATTCAGGTGTGTATCGTGAAAACGTAACTGTTTCAATATGATTCATAGTCGTGCATATGTTGAGAAGATTGTTCATTGTTATTTTGAATGTTTGCTTGTATATTGATATTTACCGATTTAATAAAGGTTAATGATACATGTTAAAGTATTCATCAGCAGACACTATATATGTTATAGATTTTTGATATAAGAAAATTAAAACCTAGAAGTTATTTTGTACAGTATTTACTCTTTGTAGTTTACTTCCGTGATTAATTTTTAATAGTTTTGACTTTCTAACTATCCATGAAATTTTAATGTCATCTCAGCTTTTTCCTTTCTTTAATTTGTTGACTCCTAACATCAAGTCTACAGCTAGACTGTCGATTAAAAGTTTATCATAGTTGGAAATACTACAATAGATATTAGCATGTTTCTTTCATTATTATTTAACATATGAATAGATTGAATATGAGAAAAAAAGTAATGTGATATTCTGCATGATGAAAAGAAAAATAGTTTATTCTGAAGTGGAAAGGTAATGAAGTAAATAAAAATTGACTGCAATAGCTGAGCGAAAAGATTTATATGAATAAGATTAAATGTTGAGGTTGTTATTGATGTATTCAATGGTATAATATGCTTAGGAAATGAAATTACGAACATCAACTGGAAGGTTAAAATTATATAGTGTCATATGAGGTGCATAAATTAATGTAGTTAATCAATATTAGTATTAAACAAAGATTTACATATTTTAGTTTTTTATCAACTTTAATCTGTTATTTTTATGTTATTTTATTTTACTTATTAGTAAACAATAGATAGTGCGTGACATTCTTTATAAAAATATTTGCAATTGAACTTGGAACTTCTTTTAACTATATATTCTAGAAAAAGATTAAAACGAAGAGATGCATATACAGTTCGAACGAAAAACCAATATTTCAAAGATTAAGATCGATAAACTTAAGCGCAATAGATGTTAATATGGTAATTGGAAGCTGAGAAGCAATTCTTTTTTAAGAACAAGTAAACAGCAGATTCTACATAAGGAAATCAAGCAAACATGACTCGCCTACTTTCAAAAGATAGATTGTTAGTATAGAAAAAGTAAATGAAGGAAAGGGTATTCAGTCAAATGCAAAATTAAAAACGAAGGTGATCGTCTGATTAGGTGTTAATAGTCCTAATCATTTTTAGATGAAAAGAGCTATAACTGTAACAAAATATATAAATAAGGTTCTTCATATTGTTCTATAATTAAGCAACTAATTATTGAGTAACAATTGAACGTACCGATTAAAGAGTACTAGACCTTCTGCCCATCACTCAAGTCAGAAATTATATATCAGACATTATTCTGTTTTCATTTCAAAGAAACCTAATGTACTACGAAAAATAGTAAAAGAAGAGATAAAATTACATGTTCTATACTTTATTTTACTATAAGATCATATATGATCGTAGAAAAGTGTATAAGATTATATTCATTAATAGAATATATCAAACAAACCATAAGATAATTCGAATAATGTTTCATATTTTGTAATTATCATATATCTATGATAAAAATTATCATAGAAATATTAAAAGAAAATAAAAACAACAATTATTCGAAAAAAAAAATATCGATGGTCCAATAAATCCTCCTGTTGATTCATTGATGAATAAGCATTATTTTCTAGTATTGTACGGTAAACATAATTTTTGAGTTGTACTCGTTCCGGATATTCGAACCAAATAACAAATACGTGGCATAATTACATTCCGTCGTTCGATCTCAGATGAACTTGATTCGTCCGATAGATCCAAATCCGATTTGATTAATGATCGAGAAGATTTCAAATAACGAAAGAATGGATTATTTTGATTATCATTATTGATCCATGCATTGCTGATTGATATTAAAGATAATAAGATACATAAAGACAATAAGATACGGACGAGAAAATTAGACATCACTGCTAGAGGAAAATATAAAATATATTAATCAGTAAAGTATTCTAGAGTGAAAACCTTTAAATAGATGAAAAAGAAAAAAATTATGGAAACATCTGTTATAGAAAGGAGTGAGAAGTTAATTTATCAGGACTTTTTTTCTATAATTTAGATAAGTTATATTAATGTGTTTTCCGTTAACTGTTTGCTACTTACAATTGTTAGGAAAACAGCAGAAAATCTTATCATTAAACGGGAAGAGCAAATCGTGTGGGGAGAAAAAGCAATTAGATATGATGATGACTTAGAATAAACGTGATTTTTTGGGAAAACATAAGGTGAATATATATATGAAGAGAATCTAATAAACGCCTACGATATTTACTATATTATATAAGAAAATTTCATAATAAAAAATAATAGAAAAACAATCATTTTGCTGGGTATGATTATACTAGAAAAGGTCGATATATTTCTAGATTTCGGTTAAGTATAAAAGACGTTCCTAATTTTCTATTATGATCTGATATAGTTTAATCAAATTTCTATTAAAACTACAAACAATGATTCTTTCTTCAGACTATATACAGATAGTCTGAAGAATAGTATTATATCAGCTCGAGTGAGTACATAATACGACAGAGTAAATTGATCCACTAGAGAAAAGTTTACAATTACAGTTCATTCTGACTTTTTCTTCTCAATTTATTGAGAAAGATATCATCAGTTATTATTTCATCTAATAATAAATATCTTTACATCTTATATGATCCGGGGGTAAACTGACCACGTTATAATCTGTTTTCTTTCTGTTTATTCAAAAATATTAAAATATCACACGTTCAATATTATTCCCACAAGGAATTATATTCCATCTCGATCCTACGCAAAACATACGATACAAAATTACTATTGGGTTTAGGAACTAAAATAAAAGTAGAACTTACTTTAAAACAAAATCTATTTACATAATATTCTATGAATGACTTATTACAGTTGAATGTTATTCCTCCTACTAACAATCAGTGCTTTATAACTCATTTGAAATACTCGCTGCGTATATTAATTGAAATTTCATAACTATATAGAAGCTTATAATTGCGATCTGTGCACATATTTAATAATAATTAGCAATAAACGTAATCGTTCGAGTATACATTCTTAAGAATAACTAACATGATCAAAGAAGAAAATTCCTTATTATTCTAATTATTATAAACAGTATGATACAGCGACCTTGTTCATGATATATATTCGAAAAGTTAAAAATAATTGTCAAGAAAAAAAAGAAACTTCTATTTATAAACGTAGGAAAAACTAAATTTAAACTAAATCAACTTTCAGAAATGTTCTTTTTATACCTCATTATATGTCACTGAAACTTATAAAAGGTAATAGTATCTTACCAATACACTAGTACAACACGAAGATTTTGAAATGAATGAAGCGTACCGTTGGTTTATATATCACTTCTAATAAAAAAATATCCTAAAAACATCTGCAGATTTTGTTAGGATATACACTGGCAGATGTTCAAAACAAAAATATTACAAATGAACAACAACTCATTTTAAGTTTCATATAAAATCTAAATATAGTGAATAGAACTGTCGCGATTAAATACCGAAAAAATGTAGTCCTACAAGACGTTATTAAGTTTTACAGTATATGGATTCTTTCTAAATCTGATATATACAAAAGTATAGGTCACGTTCATATTATGCCTTGACATGTTCATATGATTACTTATCAATCCTTACGTTAGATTAGAAGAATATAAATGTCCAGGGAGAATAGAATGATAAAGTTGTCTTTGAATGCTTTTAATTATCAAATTTTGTGCTTCTTTTATAGTTGATTCTTGCTGCTATTGTTGCAGACGAAGAACCCCGCTAAGAAATCTATTCTTAGTCATCCGGATCTTAATCTTTTACATGAATAGCACAGATAATAGGTTAATGAAAAGAATATTTTCAGTCTATTTACGAGGGGTGTAGGAGAAGATTTCCTCAACTTCAAGTCTTTGTTTACATTTGAAAACGTTGAATTGATAAGTGATTCTTCAAAACTAATTATTTTTTGTATTCGGAATGGAACTGGAATTTAAAAGACATACTCAGACGCATTGTTCCTATATTTCAATTACAATTATATTATAGACTAGTGATGCATATAATAGAACTTGAAAGTATTGCTTTTGGATTTTTTCGTAACTAGTGAACAAAGATTTGATTTTTGAAATACAAGTTTATAAAAGATATTAATGCATTAAATAGAATTGGAAAAAAAAACTATTCGAATGGATGATCAGAGATGTCGGCAACTACTAAAAGGTATAATATCTTCATCGAAGCTTTTAATCGTATCTACAATAGACACGCGTACCAATAATACTACGAAATTGATATGATTCTTTAAAATATTTACAACTAAAGAAAATATCTAAGGTATTTTACCTTGAAAAATATGTATCTTAACATAGAGAAATATTATATTTGTAAGATTATTCTTTTATAATATGAAGTTCACATGGCTTAACCATATTTGATTAAGTAAAATCAATAAACGTTTCTATAAACCACAATAATAACATGAACATCTGGTATTTTGTTAGCTTTTCATACCTGTTGTGCCCACTGTATCCTATATTTTTTATCGGAAGTTTTTTGCTTTATTTTCTAACTTTTATCTTAAGTGTTATGCTTACTTACTTTGTTTTGACTTTTACAATGCTTAGTTTTCTTTATTGCGCAATATGAAATAGATAATCACAATATGTCAGTTTTAAAATATTCTCTTTTTTCTCAATACTCTCCGGAATCGATTTACTACTACAATTAATGTCATAGAAATATTCAACTGATTTGACAAATATTATTAGTAGTATCATTCTGACCTTGTCATCAATCAACATTATTGATTGACTCATGTATAACATGCAACATGTTTGTGTAATTCTATTGTCTGTGTCTAATGAGAAATCTATACAAAAATATCAAGATGGAATGTAGACTTGAAAAATCTTGACATATATTCCATGTAATTTGTTAATTATACTTATTAATATGCATGCAGTCATAAGAATGACAATATATTTAGCACAAGTGATTCATTATAATGACCGAAGAATAATCTTTAGATATTACTTTTCTTTTGTATGCATACAAGATGAAATGATACATCTCTATCTTAATTGTTTCTTTCGATAGTCTCGAATATTGAAAAGATTTGTAAACTTATATATTCAAGAAGACTTCATCACCTTTCAAAAATATAAATTCATTAAAAATGCACCAAAGGACGTATCATATCTAATTAGAAAATGAATAGTGTGATGCAACAGAATAGAAAATTATTTACTTATGGAAGTGTTTACAGAGACAGACGGAGCATAATGACGGTAACAGACCTCTTCAAATAATTAAAAATATTTCTTACAAAAATCATGCAGGACATTACTAAAGGGGTTAAAAAACGGTATTATTCAATCAGAATTTTACAAAAAATATTTGAACTTAATTGACTTTTGAAGGTTTTCTCAGTTTATTAATGTTCATCATTAATATAAACAACAATATAAAAAGATGTTCATGAAAATGTACAACTTTCAAAACTATAGAATTTCATTTATGTTTCGATTGTTATTCAATTGCATCAAAAGCAATCAAATAGAGATGCACGTTGACGTTGATTCTACTAAACGTTTTCAATAGTGTGTGACTTGGATCGTACGCACCTTTTCGTGAGATATTCAATTTTTAGATGCTTTACAAAATTGTAATATCTCAATTATTATTCTTATTATATGATGGAAATGATATGTTGACTAATAGAAACTATGAATTAGTTATAAATATAAATCGTACTGCCATTCAATATTTTACAAATATATTATTCAATTAAAACAATTTGTGTAATTGTCAAGTACTTTGTTTATAGATATTCTTGATTGAATTTGAGCAAAAAAGGTAGAAATATAATTTAATAATCAATATTTTGTCGTTACATTTTATCTGTTTGAACAAATATAATCAATTGAAAAATAACTTATATAAAAAAATGAATACATATATCATGGTTTGTAATACTAATATATTTTATAAAAACAACGCTTTAGAACAACAACAATATATATTAATTGATAAAAAAAAATTGTTTACTGCTAGATCACTTAAATTGATCGGATGTATAACGTTTTCAAGTCTTGATATCAGTACAAGTCAGTCGATAGCAAGAATAACTGTAGTTGAATTATTATGATATGCAATTTCATTTTCTGGTAAATAGATTTCTTCAGGCCATTCATTTATCTAATTAAATTAAAAAAGAGAATTAAAAAAATATATTTATTAAAATACTTACAAATCGTTTTAATGAAAATCCCCAATCAATAAGACTAAAAATTATAGAGAATATAAAAAATTGGTAAGCATAACCCATTGGTAATGCATATGCATATAATAATATATGAATACCAAATGTAATTTCGCAATCTGTCACAATAAATGTTAAAAAAAACATTATCTCTTCTAATAAAATAAAACAAATAAAATTATTGTAAATAAATTTTTTTATTCTTACGAAAAATTGTTGTTGTGTCTGTATTCATAGCAGTAAAACTATTAATTATATTATAAATCATTTCCATAAACAGATTAATCATGCCTAACACACAGGCTAAATCAACTAGCCATGTTGGATCTAAATCATCTGATGTACATACATGCACAGAACATCGATTTTTATATCCTACATAGAATTTTAATAAAATAGATGACAAAATTTTTTTTTAATATTTACCGGCATAATGATTAATATTAATAGGACTTCTTGCCCAATGACTAGAAAAAATTGGTATAATTAATCCAGTAACAATAATCAGTTTACATATGAGAATAATTAATGTCGAAATAGATGGTTCATAATTCAAGAAGTAACTACAATATCGATTCTGAGACATTGGTGGCATTGCCTATTGATCTTTAACAGTTAAATATTTTTTATAATAAAAACATCATATTTTTAGTTTAGAATATTTACATTTATAATGAGATATAAATAACAGATGTTAACCGGTATATAACATTACAGATGTCTAATTATGGAAATTAATGGTATTTGAATGTCCTTTTTTATTCAAAAAATTTATCATAAATATATATTCTTTGATCGACTCATTCAAATTTTCTCTCTAATTTATACTTAAAAACTATAATTACTTGTTCTCTCCAGTTCGTTTGACTTAATAATTATGTCGCCTAAGTTTGAAAACAAAATTATAAGAGAAAATAGTAATTTTAGAAAAAAAGATCATTGACCTGTAAAAGTTTTGAGTGGTGAAAAATAACAACAGAAAAATTATCGAAACTTAAACTCTTATCAGAATACTAATATTAGAACTGTCTAAATCAGCTTATACTAGGTGACATAAGAGTCGAGACTCATCTGTAAAATACGATCCGAAGCTCGATTTCGAAATAACCACTTTAAGGTTTTCACAAAATTCTCAACATTCACGATTCTAGTAGAAATTCATGTTATCGAAATCGAGAGTTCAAACTATCATATATTGAACGAACATTCACAGTTCATTATCTGTCATCACCTGTACTTTCAGCTGTAAAACATTTGTTAGAAAGAAGTGGTACCTAACTTTTGCTTTTGCTTTTCTTTTTAATTATCTCGAAAATCTCAAAAAGTCTTTTATCGAAAGTTTTTTTCGGATGAGAAAAATGAAAATTTCGGGTGAGTGTCGCACACTCACTAGATAAAACACTCAATTTAAAAAAGTCAATATCATGTTTTTCCGACGCTTCCTGTAAACGAATTAAACGTCCTATATCAGTTCGATCTTGATATATTAATCTCGAGTTTAAAAAAGTATTTTCAGATGTTCTGTTGCTGAGATCATTGTAACAAACTGACAACTTTGAATGAGTACGTCGAGAAAGTAAGAAAGAAGAAAGAAAAAAAGGAAGGAAACCCGCGGAGGAATACATAAATGTTTTGCTTCGCATCGCGTTAAATATTTAATATAGTCATCACATCATGTGTTGTACGAAAAGTAAGAGAAAAAATAACAGAAAACAAAAATTATCTTTTTTGCAACAATAAAAAATTATAATGATAATAAATGATGTAACCATTCTCCTTTTTTAATAAGATGCGAAGCAAAGAATTTATGTATTCCTTTGTGAGTTTTCCTCCCTTCTTTCTTACGTTCCCGATGTACTCATTCCAAGTTGTCATTTTGTGTCATGATGATCTCAGCAATGGAACATCAAAAAATACTTGTCTAAACGCGAGATTAATATATCAAGATCGAACTGATACCGTTCGTTTACAGGAAGCGTCACAAAAACATGATTTTGACTTTTTTAAATTTCGAGATAATTAAAACAAAAAGCAAAAGCAAAAGTTAGGCACCACTTCTTTCTAACAAATGTTTTACAGTTGATGATAGTTAATGAATCATTAATACTCTTTCAATATATGATAGTTTGAATTCTCGATTTTGATAATATAAATTTCTACTATAGCCGTGAATGTTGAGAATTTTTTTGAAAACCTTAAAGTGGTTATTTCGAAATCGAACTTCGCATCGCATTTTGCAGACGAACCTCGATTCATGTACCATCTAGTTCATATTATTTTGTTCAGTCTTTAATGGACGTTTCTCTTTTCTTTTCTTTTAAAAATTTAGTTTTTTGTTCCGATGAGAGTTAACAATCGTATAATCATGGTTTGTATTACATCCTATTTACAATATGTGATGAATGAGAACAATAAAGAGTAAGAAGCAAGACATAAGAAGAACACATTAGAATTAATTGTTGAACTTCATTGCATATAATGAATATCATGATATCAATAAATATAATAGAGTTTATTAAATATTAAAATATGTTTTTTTACCTGCTAAGTGGTTTAAGAAGTAATCTATGCGCAAACTTGCTAACTTTTCTCATTCCTAAACTTTCATAATATGATTTTGAAGGATCAGTAGGTATCAAAAAGGTTATTCATGTTTATCTATATGCATTTGCTTCAGGTGACATATCTAGATGATTTTGAAATCGAATATAATATTTGTAGACATAATCATTCAACGATAGTTCTCTACACAAGCATAGTGTAGTAAAATCCTCTTAGTCTCATAGACTGTACATTAATCAGAGATGGGCAAGTCAGACGTTTTCACAAGTCAAGTCAAGTCATGTTTCAAGTCAAAACTGATTATAAAAAATCCTTTTATTGAATAGAACTTAGGAATACAAATGTCCTGTTATTTCGAATTAATATTTAGCAAAATTCTCATTTGTAATTATATTTATCTTTTACATGCTGATTCTGTAATAACACTAGTAAAAATATAAAAAAAAGTACACTAAAATCTCTTCATATATGTTTTTTGACTTGACGTGAGTTTATGGCTTAATTTCAAGTCAAGTCAAGTCAAAAAACGACTTGACTTGCCTATCTCGGATAATTATCTTATCTCTGTTCTCTAGTTTTTATTTTTGCTTACCCGTAAAATAAAGTAAGTCTATATAAGTCAAGTTAAACGAAGGAAAGCAAAAGTACAAAACAATTGTTTTCTTATTTTAACCTCATACTTTGGTATTGTTTTAAATAGTGTACTTAATACATAATGGTTATTTTTAATTCTTTTCAAGCAATCTGCAATATATTTACCTAATCCCAGCTGATCGGCATCTTTCTTGTCTACTCAAGTTTGGTACATGAAATTAGCAGACATATTTATCATAATCTTTATTGGGTATGAGATGTGCGACGAACATCTTGATAGCATCATTAGCTGGTTACTCGAGATTTTCACCATTCGAAAGAGAGATGTCGAAGTCTCGTGTTCTCTCATAATGTATAAGATGAAACCTTTTTAAAACTAATTATCTTCGGAAAACATACAAAAAACTAGATGAAATTTTAACCTAGATAGAAAGATTTCAGATCTATAGTTCAAGATAAAATATATTTTTTTACTTTTCATCAAAATATCAAGCTTATTTCATAACAACTGTGAAAATTTAATAAAGAATCAATAAAATTTCTAATGATTTACACATATAAATATATAGTTCAATATCTTCATCGCTAGAGTGTAAGAAGAGAACAATTTGTGTTCCATCGTGAACTGTAAATTTTAAGTCTTTCTATATAAAATTCAGTCTTCATTTATTTTTTTCGATTATAATCACTTTCAAAAGGATATCATCGTGTGCATTTTCGGAGGAAAAGATACTTGAAGTTTTACAATTCAATTCTTAATTTACTATTGGATTTCTATTTTAACGTTTTTCTTAGAAATCGATGCGTAGTTAAAAAGAACATTATTACATATTTACATACGATAGAATTAGTTTTCAATAATTTAATTTAAAGACGGTATTATCATATACTAAATTACAAAGTATTGTTTTTTTTTGATTTGAGTTAAATCAGCACCACCATTTTTTCGTTACAAGTAAAACAAAAAATAAATAAAAGCTAATTTTTACTATCAAAAGATAAATGATTATATTTAAAATCCAGTTAAACATTAAACTATGTTAGGTAAGGTTTTAGTACATCAAAGATCAATTGTCCTAATTGATCATATCCTTTTGGTGCTAAATGTAATTCATCATCCCAAATCTGTTGACGTTCATTTTTTGAAAGTGAATATTGTGGTAAAAGTTTATCAACATCAAGAACTACAATATTATTACTATTATTTTTTGATATTAATTCTTCTTTTAATAATCGATTAAATTCTTGTCGTTGCACATCGAATGGCGAATTTCTTGGATAGAATGCTTCTGGTAAAGTCATGGCAAGTACTCGAGCTTCATGTTTATGACATTCATTCATTAATAATTTATAAGTATCAAAGATAATCGAGGCTTTTTGTTGATCGCGTACAGTATCATTTGTACCAGCTAGAATAAGTACCCAATCATATTTATTTTTTGCAGATGATAATAATTGTTTAAGTCGTGGTAACATTGTTCCACTTAAAATAGCTTCACCACTTACACCTGCGTTATTGATATCAACTGTTTCAAATGATGAACGAAGAAGTTGAGAAAGACGAATTGTATAAGGATGAAATTCATAACCCAATGAATGGTAACCTTCAGTTAACGATGCACCAAACGCTAAGATACGAATAGAACTCATTGATACTAATATGAAATGTTATTTTATTTAATAATGATAAAAATGATTGTATGTCACAACCATGTATATTTAACCGTGAATCGGTTCTCCAATCGTATCTAATGTTGTGCACGAATCATACTCCATCTATTGAATGACATAATCTATGTCTTATTAAAGTATTCATTATAATCGATCAGAGCTCATGAAGAATAGAATCAAATAACAAAATATTATAATCTATTGATATGATTGATCCTGAAATATGACTGGCATGTAAACGATCATTAGAGAAAAAGGAGGATAATATTTTTGTTTTAGCAGAAACTAAGATCTTATCCGAACTTTAGCTAGTTCATATGTTTTTTTGCCATGGAAGGTAAAGAATACAGAATTGTGTATGTTTTTGCCGAAACAAAATTATCGAAGCCGTTAATATAGTAAAATCATCTTACTAATAATAATAACATACGTTTTATTTTTCTTAATAAAAAAGATCTTAAATATATGCCTCGTTCTGCTAGAAAATAAATTATTATGCTTTGATTAACAGAATTCAACATTTTCTTGATATTTTATTCATATAAACGTGACTAATTGAATATTATTTTCTAACTTCCCTCAACAACCTACGCACTCTTATTTTTTTGACATCGATAAAATAATTTTATATTTTCTCATTAAGCAAATGCTTATAGAAGATTTTACACAGGATGATGTTATTTATCTGTAAATAAATATAGTTATTGAACGAAAGTTTACTATATTTAATCATCAACGAACTTTTGTTATGAATAGTTGAATGCTTCTGTTAAATTTTAATGATGTACTTTTAACTGCGTTGAAAATAACAGAGCAACAAAGTAAAGAAAAAAAGGTTATTTAATTATGTTTTCATGTTATTCAGATATAAAATATCTTTGATATATACTGTAAAAAAGTTTTACTTTTCTATTGATGTGCGTCTTTTTCCTCTTCTTAGTAAATAAAAAAGATGACTACGGGTGCCAGAAAACTAAAGAAGAAGAAAAAAGTACATTAAGCAATGCGTTGACATAACAACATAGATCTTTTTCCTATTCTTTCACAACCTTTTCCTCGTTTTCTTTCCTTTTTATACTCCATTCTAACAATCAGTTTACCATTCATTCGTGCATTTTTATAATGAATATATTTCTAAAAGTACATACGATTTTCTTATTAGAATTTATCTTTGAACCTATACTAAGTCAAGTGACGTATACTTGTTCTTCCAATGCTACATGTGGATGTTCCGGTAATTCAGCTGTATTAACAAAAATTGTTGGTGGAGAAAATGCTGCAAGTCAAACATGGGGATGGATGGCATCACTTCGTTATTCATCTACTAATTCACATTTTTGCGGTGGTTCAATTATATCACCATTACATATCCTAACTGCTGCTCATTGTACAATAGGATTATCATCTCCTTCTGCAGTTAATGTTTATGTTGGATCAATATACTTATCTGACACTGTTCAAACACGTGGTGTTTCATATATACATATACATCCAAATTATTCTACAACTACTTATGTTAATGATCTTTCTATACTTAAATTATCTTCACCATTAACTATTGATCAAACTAATGTTGCTATTGTTTGTTTACCGAATGTATCATCGATTATACTTGCAAGTCAAGAATATCCAGCACCTAATACTAGTGTAATAAAATAATGTTTATTAAATATACTAATTTAAATACATAATAGAGAAAAGTCATATTATTATACTAGTAAAATAGTTTTAGGTTCTTCTCAGAATTGTAGACATCATCTGGAATAAGTTTCATCATAACAACAAATGATTACCTGAAGGAATCGAGCAAAAGTTTCACTATTGACATAACCCAGTTTTATAAAATATTCTACATATATTTTTTTAAGTCACAAATTTCTGACAATGTTTTTTTTTATAATCAATTATACGTAAAAATAAATATTTGCATAAATAATCAGTTTGATGAACTGCACTCTTATCAGCTGAGATTGATAGTATAATACAGAACTGAAGAATATTTCAAATTAGTAGCATAAACTACATATAGTCAACTGTAATAATATAAAACGGTAATAAATCATTCTTGAGCTTTTCTTTTTATAATTTCCGAGAGAAATTTAATCAAATTCTTTTCTATTAGATGCTTTATTGTTGATAAAATTCAATCGTAAGCATATATTTTTTTAATAAGATCAAGAATTAATAAATTTTTGTATTTTTATTTATAGCTAATTGCCATTGGTTGGGGTTATTTGACAGAAGGAGGAGATTCAGTATCACAAACACTTCAACAAGTAACTATTCAAGCCATTGCTGCCAATAGTATTTATTGTAAAAATGTTCAACCCGCTGATTCATCTGTACAAATGTGTGCTGGAACAATGCCGATTGGTGGAAAAGGTAAATTATCATAAATCTCATATAATGTATGATTGTTATTATTATGAATTTATAGATACATGTCAAGGTGATAGTGGAGGACCTTTATTAATGTTTACTTCTGATAATGTTTGGCAAGTAGTAGGAATAACTTCCAATGGTGTTGGATGTGCAAGACCAAACTTACCTGGTATTTATACACGCGTTGCAGCTTTTCAAGTATGGATTAATGATACAATGAATGACGCAAATCATTTACATATTACGATTCATACAATATTAATTTCGATTATTTTTATTATCTTTTTTGTAAACATTAAAAATTAATTACCAAAATTGTCTTTCAGATTCTAATAAGTGTAATTATTATATAGTTAATGTATGTAAATCTATTATCCATATATATATTTTTATATATACAAATATTCTTTCAGAATAAAAAATATATGTCAATTATTATAAATAAGTTATATTCCATTAACGAAGAAGATATAATATACAAACTATCAACCTTTTATATATAGATTAGAATATAGTTTATTATTATTATTATTTGACATTTCTTCTCTAAGTAATGAGTATATAAAATTAAGTAGTGTGATAATTAGTTTCGCTTGTTGACATATAAAAATCGATATATGAAATAAAGAAAGAAGATTTCAGAGAAGATAATCATATGTGACTGAATTGATGGTGTAATGTATGATACTAGGACATATCTCCTTAAGACAAACTGTTGGATAAACAGAATATTGAAGATGTAAGTGAGGAATGAATGGAATAGTGCTACATCAACATCACACCTTTTTGAGATGAAACATTTTGTCCGAGAAGCTGTTGTAGACAAAATAAACTTGTATTTTCTCACTAGAAACTAACGTTTTTTTCTTAACTTATCATGGAAAAGTTTATGTAATATCAAAGCGATTACTTTTTAGCTAATAACTGTAACACTTAACATGTTTTTAAATTATTTGATTATATATTATTGAACGAAATACATATTTGATGATCAAATGAAGTTATATTTCTAAATTCATTTTTCATAATATATTCCTTGAGCAAACAATCGACAATTACTTCAGATTTTTCAAAGATAAACTAATAAATAAGAGATTATATTATCTTATTTGCATTGGTTACTTACCATCTTAATTGATGAAGAACTTCATGGAAAAAAAATCTTTCAGCTTGAATTCGAATCATCACTTAAGTTTTTCTCAACTCATATTGTATTTTTATTTTCCATCAAAAACTGAGATGAATTATCATAAAAGACAAAAAGATAAAAAACTTTTTCATGCTACTTGAGATCATATTTGATGATACTGAACTTTTAATAATAGACATTTTTCGTATACATACTGTATTATTTTCCAAGAAGCACTTTATCCATGTTTCATAAACTGATACTCGAGTATATACTCCTGCGTATCCAGGTAATGCACAACCTATTCCATAACTTGTAATACCAGCTAAATACCATTTGTCATTAGAAAATAACATTAATGGTCCACCACTATCACCTTGACATGTATCTAAATAACGAAACATATTTTATTGTAAATATGATTTCATTTTCAATACCTTTTTCGCCATCTTGAGCACTAGCACAAAATTGCACCTGATTATTTTTAATCGTTCGTAAGCAAGTAGTATCATTATCGGCAATGGTTTTTAAAGTCACTTGTTTTAATGTATTTGAAACAGCGTCAATAGACGTTGTTAATTTACCCCAACCAATAGCAGCTACTGTTAAATCTTTTGATGGATATTCTTCTATATTTTGTGGTAGACAAATCAAACCTAATGATCCAACGTTCATATCAAATGGTGATGATAAACGTATTATAGCTATATCATTAGCATACGTATCTGAAGTATAATTTCGATGTATAGCAATTTCAGAAACAGATCGTTGCTGTTTTATTTGAGATAAGTATATTGAACCAGCTGTTATACTAAGACTTGATATTCTACTTATTGAATTAAGACAATGCGCAGCAGTTAGAATTAATTCAGGTGATATTAATGATCCACCGCATGTATGAGCATTTCGTATACGTATAGATACAGCCCAATTCCAAGTATCAACTCTTGCATCTTCTCCACCAATAATTTTCGTTAATGAAACTGAATTTAATGAACAACCACATGTTGAGTTTAATGAACATGAATATGTAAGACTTGTAATTATTGTAAAACTAATCTGTATTAAAACGCAATAGAAAACGAAGGTCATTATTACTCCTGTAATGTTGTTATAATACTTGTCTTTAAGAAAAAAAAAACGAAACCTGATATTAAAGAAAATATTTAATGAAGAATGTTGTTCTCGTATCGATCTATCAAATAAAATTGTGAAGAACAAAATAAATTATTCTTACTTACCATGAATTTATATGAGAAATCCTGACATTGAATATAGTAATAAAACTTCATGTTATCTTTACAAAACAACATATTTAAGTATGTTTGTCTCTATAGTTAAAAGCATGTTGTAGCACAGAAAAACCTGGTCTATATTTATTTATTAACAAATGGTAGTTAAATCACATTATTGTATTTTTACAATTTGTCTACAGTAGATTTTTAATAAAATAAGAATATGTCACTCGAGGAATAGATAAGAATGCTAAACTAATCTTCAAATGTTCTTTGTACTACTGATGGTATATTAAGAGACCGGAAGGCACTAATCGTTAAATAAAAGCGTAATAAACAAAAAAGATAAATATGTTATGCCTATATTTATTATTCATAGAGACATATTTATCAAATTTGAATATTCATAACCGACATTAACGTTTTGAATAATATAGACTCGCTAATGAAAGAAATTTCTATATAATTTTAAACTTAAAATATTGATTGTATAGTATTGAAATTTGTATCAAAAACATTTTGAAATCATGAAATTCAGTTTTACTGATATCTCATTATATTCTGATGTTTATTATTTTTTAATACACGTATCTATATCTTCGATATAGTTGAAAATTTGTTTATATGAAAGAAAATACATCACAAAAAATAAAAATTAACCGTGCAAACTTTCAGTTTATCTGCATAATTGCTGCAAAATGTATGATGATCTTCGTAACGTCATAATGAATTAAGACGGAAATAAATCAAGATACAATGTACCTCAAATTGTTTGCACACAAAACACTTCAAAAAAAGAAGTAAAACAATTAAAACGTTGACTGTCCCATAAGAAAAAAATAATATTTGTTGTACGCCCTTTGTTTTATCATTTTTAATATTATAATATATTATTTATATTTTTCTGATACGTCTTGTAACATCCAGCAAATTCTAGCTTAAGATATCCTACGCTACAAGCACGTCGTACGTGACGCGAAGACTTTTTAGTCAAAAGTATCGTGCATCACATATGATGCATCGGACAGTCAACGTATTAAAAAGAGGCCAAGATGGAACAACATGAATTCAGATGTTTTTTCAAATAGAAAAACTTGCTATACAAATTAAGTCAGACTTTCTAGTTCACACTTTAATTTTCTTTCGAAAAATAAATATTATGAGTCAAAAATAAAATATTTATGAATCATCCAAAAAATAAAAACATCGACTAATGAATTTGTAAGATAGAATTATTTCTGTTGTTTTGTTTATTCGATTTATAAACAACACTTTTCATATTTCCTGACTAATAGAACAATGCTTGGCGTGTTTATTTCTCTACCGAAAATTATTTAACGATAGATTGTTCTCCTTCATCAAGTGACGACACATAGGAAAAAAAATAAAGGAAAGAGACTGATACTGACGTATGTGTATGATTTTTTCACTTTTTTTTTCTTCGTATGTCTATTTATTTGACTATGTCGATATTGGAAAATCATTGAAGCATAACATTTCGTTATTCATTACCATTTTCTGTATTTTTTGTTTTTTTTATATGTGTATATGTATATTTAGTGAATAAGAAAATCTTCAAATTGGATGTTGTTCAAACGAGCACGTGATCTCGTCTCGGACGTATATCATGGTTTAATACATGGCTCTGTACGTGATATTGCTAAATGTAGTAAAATAGTCAAAGCAATTGATAACAATAATATTGATGAATTAAAAATATTACTTCCACAATTAAATCATAAAGATGTTGAAGACTATCTTCGACAACCAGTGGATTCCATGAAACGAACACCATTACATTTTGCTGCTTGGGCAGAAAATACTGAAATATTAGAAATGTTACTTACTTATGTTAATGAACCTGATGTTGAAGATAAAACTGGAGCAACACCAATGATGTTCGTTGTTGGTAGTGGTAATGATTGTTTAAAAAAAATGACTATGTTAATTAGTAAACATGCAGATGTGAATAGAAAAGATAAATCTGGTTGGACATTAGTTCATGCTGCTGTTAAATCAAGAAGACGAGGTTTAAATTTATTTATATATTAGAAAAATTTTAATTTAATTTCAAATTTTTATCTTTATAGATCTTTTAGAATTATTAGTAAATAAAGGTGCTAATATACATATAGTTGATGGTGATAATCGTTCATTATTACATATAGCATGTGATAATGGTGATATATCAATTGTAAAATATCTCTTAGGTAAAAATGCTAGTTTAAAAGTACAAGATAAAAATGGTTGGACACCATTACATGTCGCATGTGGTCCAGCTGATGATTATGAACTTGTTCATTATTTAATACAACATGGTGCTGATCCATATGTTTATGATATGAATCATTCAACTCCACTTGATTTAGCAACACAATTTAAAGCAAAACAAGTTGAACGTTATTTAAAAGTTCTTATTCAAATGGATCCTGATACAGATATCGATGATCTATGTTCCGAATCTGGTATGACGAATGATACATATGAAAGTGATAATGTCTTCGAATCGGAACCGAATTCCAAACGAGTATCACAAAAATCTAATATATCTTTTCGAATGGTTGAATTAAATCCAATGAAACAACAAGTTGTTAAACTTTAATTAACATGAATGTTGTTTTAATTTCGAAATGAAGAAGAAAAAATTTCTTCTTTTATATTTGTAATCTATGTTATCGATTCGATTTCTTTTTTCTCTCTTTATATCATCATGTTTGTTGTCATAAACAAAAAAAAGTACATAAAAACATAAATATAATAATAATTATTAATAAAAAAAAAATAAAACAAGCGTTATTTTTTTGTTTATGAATACAGTAAAAAATAATTATATGCATTAATACACACATGCTTCAGATAAATATAAATGTAAAGTATATGAATTATTTACTTCTGTCTTATTGTCACATTCACATACATTTTTGTTGTCGTATGTTTACTGTAGTAATGTGACAAGCATTTTTGTTTGATTTAATAAATGTTGATCGAAAGACATACTTTCATTTGACGATTAAATATATAGTACATACTATTGAACGAATTATTCAAACCTACAACGGAAAATGAGAAAAGAAAGGCTTAGTCGGTATTAATTATTTGTTGACTAAGCTTTTTCATACTTACTTGTTTCACTTTTTATTTTCATTAACATAAAATAGAAATTTTTGTTAGAAAATAAATAAGATAAATGGCCGGATGAATGCACGGTCTGACTATCGCCAAGTCTCTTCTAGTGCGAGTGTTTCTTGTAGTACACGGATTAATTTGTACTTGGCGTGTTGTTGATATAAATGATAATCAATATTGTTGGGTTATATTAGTTGGTTTAGGATTTTTACTTATTGAAACTGGCATTGTTCTTTGGCTACGAAATGGACGAGAATTTAAAACGTAAGAAAAAGAAATAAATAAATCGTTAATTTTTTTTATTATACTTTATTAGAGTTGCCTTTTGTATCATATTTTATTTGACATGTACAACACCATCACTTTGGATTATTCATGTTGACACCGCTAATAGAAAATTATATCGTCTTGCAGAAAATAAACTTAATGCTCGAACAGCAGCTGTATCATCAACTAATATTCGACAACAACATCGTCTTTCAAATAGTACATCATATCTACATGTTGTTTCACCAAATTTACATCGTGTATTACCAACAACTACACCACTTATTCTTTCCATTGGACATATTGAATGTCATGATAAAGTAAATTAAACTGTTAAAATTAATCTGTCTTTTTTTTCCAATTCATCGATTTAGGCTTGGTACTATATGGAAGAACAACGTTGGCTTGATGCAATACAAGAAACTTTGCTTGTTATTTTATCTATAAGTCGTTTACTTATAAGTCGTCAACATATGACAATAGAAAAAAGTGGCATTGTTTTAATTGTTACATTAATAAATGCTGCTGATCTATTATCTATTTCACAATCATTACAATATCATGATGTTATTATTGAACGAATTTGGATGTATATTGGTCTTGTTCTTTTAACAATTGGTTTATTTCAAATGGCATTTATTGATACGGATGGATTAGCATTGATATCAAATGAAAATTTTTCACATTATTATACAAGAAAATTAACAGGACAAATACATTTTCTTCAAGATCAAAATTTACGTCCTTTTTTTCGAGTAAATTTTTCTATGCTAAAAAAACAAACATTATCTGATCACTTTTTTTTCTTCATTGATAGTCTTTATTCATTAATGATGGTCTTCTTCTACTTTATCGTACATTATTAGCTGTTAAAGTTCGTTGTAGTAAACCATCAATAATATTTTATATGTTAAAAAATATTTGTATGATTGCATTTCATTCTTATCGTGTATATAATATAGCAAAACAACATGAAAAAAAGAAAACATTTGCTGCATATGAACAATTAATGAATACACCATTATCATCGCGAAGTTATCGTCATCTGTTCGATGCATATGATCAAAAACGTAAATTAAAACAAGAACATCATTTCTTACATAGAACAATACGTCGACCACCAACACATATTCAACGACGAGCTATAAAAACACCACGAACGTTTTATAATTCTTCTCCTCAATCTATATCATATCCATTTGTACGACGTCGAAATGATGGTGGTCGAGCACGAACTGCATTTGCTCTTTATGGTCTACCATTTCGTACTCCACAATATCCTCGACCGGCAACAATTTCTTCAAGTTCAAGTCTTGTTGCCAAAGCTTTTGTTCATTAAATAAAAAAGAAAAGAAAATTTTTTAACTGATTTATTTTATTCTTCATCGACAAAGTTTCTCATATCAGACAATATAAGAATTATCTACATTGCTGATTATTGTTTTTTTCTGTAAGAAATATTTAAAAATAGATTCGTTGGATTGCAGTGATATGACTCAATGATAATAACATAAAATCTCATTGTAATCAGAACGACTAATGTAACAGTTTCCTACTACATCCTTAGAATTATAATGCAAAATAGAACCGAAGAGTAGGAGAGGTAGATATGAGATAATCATACAATTCAATTTCTTTCAGACTATATTTTAGCTAGCATGTTTGCTCATAATTGAAATAATTATGGTGGTATTTTATTAAATACAATATCGAATATTTGTATCGAAACATGACTCGTCTGATAGAATAAAACTAAATTTAAGTCGGTCAAATGTTAATATGAATAAAACTTAGACTATATGTTCTGTCATCTATGATTAAAGATGTATTAAATTCGAATATAAACTTAACGTTCGGATTTGAATACTTTTCAAACAGTTCATCAGTATCTAAAAAGTTGTCGGAAATTTTTATGAAATACAGAAATTTCTTGAAAGACATTGCCATTTGATTGTAGATGTATATTTTAAATCTCAACATAATAAGGAATTTCCTCACCTGTGTTTGAATTAACATCTTTTTTTTATCTAATAAATAATGAATTTAAATCTTAGCCTAATAGTTCAATCCATCGGTCTTGAATTAGTTGTTTTTGTGCCAACATATCTAAATTATTTAATAATTCCAGTGGTGCTATTTTCAATCAAATTCAGATTAACATATTCTATACCTTATTCTTTTGTCAGTTGTATTGATTTCTATGTATCAGAAGTCTATTAGTTGAATTATGGTTTAAACGTTGTATTGACAGAGTCTGAAGTTCTTTTATTTAAAAAGTAAGATGAAATCGATTTTCATGAAAAATAGAATTCAGGTTTCTCTTGTTTTGAATACATGTATCTTCCTTTAAAGACAATCATTATATTAGCATCAGAAATATACATTCAGAACCTACTATCGTTGTTTTCATCTGTTAAAAAAATCGTTCAAACTCTATGAAAGATTTGAGAACCTCATGATATCACCATTCAATTCAAAAGCGATTAATCACTTCGGTTAGTTTTCTTATCCGTCGAAACATTTTAGATCTATTGTTTCATTAGAAATAATACAAATGATTATTCTCTTTTTCTTCTTCTTCTTGTTTATTTTATTTCTTGTTATTATATTAATCAAAGACAAGAATACATACATAAATGAATAAATAAAAAATAAAGTGTAGATAAATACATTCAAATATTTTTTTCTTTTTGTTTTTTTTTGATTTTTACATAATAGAGAGGAGCAGAAGAAGAAGAATGGTTAATATATTTAAAATAAGAAGTAAGCATGACAAACTAAAAAGACATAAAGAGAGCACCAATCAATAAGCAAAAAGAACAAGTACGAACATTTAAGATAAAAGAAAAAAGAAAAAACTGTTAAAAGTTTTATGACAGATGTAATACTATATTAAACAACAGACATAGACATATTGATGAGAAAATTTATATATGTATATATGTATGAGAAGAATAATAAATAAAATGATAAAAAAAAAGAAAAAGAAAGGAAAATATTTTGTAGTGTTTTCAATCAACAGAATAAATTCACTTGTTCGATTAATCGTCGATTATTACGAGGTGTATAAGGCGATGTAACTAAACAAGAAAAAAAAAATCATATTTTTTTTTCGAATAATAATAAAATGAAAAAAAATTTCGGTTATTTATAAAGGCTACGCGGTAGTTTACAATTAGAAGCATTAAGAAGCTGTATAAAATCTTACTTGAAATATTATTTTTCATTTAAGACACCTGTAAGTTAAAGTTGACAAAAAAGAACAAGAGGTTTTCATTAGATTATTTACCTGTCGTATTCGGTGGTGTTATTGGTTTCTTCTCCATTGGTAACATTGTCGGATTAGTTGTAGCTAACAAACGAGCTCTTTCTTTTACTGATAAACCTTTTAAAACACAGTTAATGAGTAATTCATATTTGTAAAAGAGATGAAAATACTTACGTTTATACTGTTCATTGTCATCAGATGTGTTTGAATCTCCAGCACCAGGAGTACTATCAGATTCGATTGTATTCTCTACTGGAGGTAAATTTACAGGAAGAGAAACTAAAAATATTAGAAATAAATCATTTATGTTTAAAAATGTTGAAGATTTAATGACTATAAAGGTAATAAACTCTTAATGCCTATTTTGGTTAGTATATCTTGATTATTATTAAGATTCTTGAGAAACATAAAGTATGCAGTAGGGTATATTTATTTGTTATTTAAATAATCATACCTTTTTTATCTAGCGGATAATGCCTTAATCGAACTGGTGGTGCTTCTCCATTAGGATCAAGTGCTGGAAGTACACGAGTACCAATTGCAGCTTTGCCTGATCGAGTTAATACTGGTGGGACTGGTGATGATACATTTTCGGATGAATTATGTGTTTCTTTTTGTTCGTCTCTGTTCGATGGTGTGAATCCAGCATATGAACTCATTGACATTAAAGGTTTTGTGTGAACGGGTTCATGTGTTGTATCTGAATTGATAATTTGTGATATATCATTATTTGTTACTGCTACTGATTTTGAAGCGGTTAATGGTGCATTAGTTTGATGTTGAGCATTTGAAGGTCGTGCTGATAAATGTTGTTGAATTTTTACTGGAACAGGTGGTGGAGATGGTTCGTCATTTGTTGCTTTTGTAGATTTTAATGTTGGTTTAAAAAGTTTTGTTACGGTTCTGAATATAAATAAAGAAAAAAAATGAGTCATGAAATGAAATAATTAAATAAAAACAAAACACCAAATTATTATATAAATACATGCAGCAGACTTATTGATTTATTTTAATTCTGAGTAAAGGTAAGTCGTCGTTATAGCATATACATGCAGTTTTAGTAACTAACTTTTTTATTCTGCTTTGATGTCTATTATACATGAGATTTTGTCTCCGAACAATCCACGTAAGAAGAATTAATAAAAGGTTCGACTTACTTCGGTGGTAATTCGGATGTTTGTGGATCAGTAGTGGATGTATTAGGAAGATTTGTAGTTGCTGTTTCAGTAGTTGATACTGGTGGATTATCTCCAATACTATTATCATCATTATCAAGACCACCATCAGATGAACTATCATGTGAACCGCCATTAGTTCCTCGTTTTACTGGTGGTTTTATATTTGTACGACGAGGTCGGTCTTTACCTTGAAAAACAATTAAATGAATACATTGTATTAAAGAATGTTGATATTAACAGTAGTATTACATCAATTCAAGCATTTATACTGGTCAGGTTTTTTTTACTCATACTTTTTGGTAAAACTAGGCTCTTTGGTATTATGCGACAAAACTTCTGTATCAGATAGGATGTCTGCGTAATCTTAAGTATACTAATAATATTAATAAGATAAGTCTTAGAACTATTCTTAGAAAAGTTAACTATTGTGATATAATACCTATATGAATTAATTTCGTTGTTGGTTCAATATCAATATCAAGACTATTATCAGGTGCTGCTGGTGCCATTCGTTTTTTTGCTGGTACAGGAGGTGGTGTATTATTTCTTTGTAATTCTTTCTGTTGTTCTTGTTCAACTAAATCAAGTAAATCATGTTCAATAAGATCACCTTCATCTTCTATTGACATTTCCTTCTTTTTAAGTCGATTTGCATTAGGTACATTATTATAAATTGGATCAGTATTAATTGAATTTGATTCTGATTCATTTGTATTAACTAAAACTGATCGACGCCAACCAACACCTGGTATTGTCATTGGTTTTGGTGAAGTTGGTGCTGGAGGTGTTATGGTTTTACTTTGTGTAGCTGCTAATAAACGATCATCTTTTGCTATTGATTTAGTAGGTTTTAGTGTAGGTTCTAAATTTGTTTTTCATAAGAGATTTAAATTGAAGAAAAAGTGAGCTAGAATTACCTGTGAGATATTCACTTGAGTCAGATTTTTTTAATGAACGATTAACTACTGTTTCATCTGCTGTTTCAGGTTGAGCATGATTATGTTTATGAGCTAAACGATGAACAACATTAGCACCACGATGAACGAGACGATCAAGAGCTACAATTCAACATAAAAATTTAGAATATAAAATTAAAAATAAACTTACTCGATGGTGCTGTATTTTGTGATACATCTGTTGCTGATGTTTGTTGTGACGAAGCTGCAGCTTGAAATATAGTTGTTTCCTGAAAAAATAAGACAAATAATTCTAACTATCAATAATCAATAAAATCTTACTAATTGTTTATGCATATCAATTGCAATATCATTCGTTGTATCATACGCACGTTTTTGTAAACAAGTAGCTACATTAATATAACATTCACGTGTATATGTTGTTAATCGAGTAGGTATTTCTTTATTTAGTAAATGTTGAATATTTTCATTTGAATTTGAAAAAAATGTTCTTATTTGTTCCTGTAATTTCTAAAAAATCAAATTAAGTTTTAGATAAATAAGAAAATAATTATTTATTATTACATCATCATAATTAATTGTTGTTTGTTCTTTAAATAATTGATAAAATTTCCTTGATAATCGGTCATTTTTTTCTATTAATTTTTGTTCAAATAATTTACACATATCATTCCATTCATTTTTCAATTGTTCTTCTTCATTTATATATGATTCATATAATTCAGATGAAATCTTTGAGAAAAAAAAAGAAGAAGAGATTTACTTTATATTAAAGACAGCTAATATTTTATATACTTTAGCAATACGTGTTGTTCGTGTTAAAATTGATTGAATTTCTTCTTGTTTATTATTTAATCGATTTGAACAAGATAGAATATATTCAAGTGATGTTTGATCACCAATTAATTGTTGTTGATTTTCCCAAGATTGATTTATTTCACGTGTTAAATTAGCTGGTGGTATAACAAGTAAAGAATCAGGTGAAAATATATTTTCTTTTTGTTCTTGATTTCTTGTACATAGAGTATCAAGCTATTAGAACAAAAAAAAATAATTCATTATAATATAAAAGAAAAAGACTAAATACTTTATTCATTAACATTTGTAATTTTTCCATACGATCTTTTTCTGTTGTTTTCATTAGGATTATATCAGTTATTGGAATTGGTAAATATTGAATAGCATGATTTCTATTAAATAAAAAACAAAATATTTAATCCAAGTACTACTAGTCTGGGTCATTTTTGTTCGTTCTGTTCAGGGGAGTATACAGGAATGAAAAAGGTCGATGAAACCAGGGTTGACTATTTCAATCAATAAAATCTTTGATAAAGAAACTATATGAGTTTATCAACATACATAGTTTTTCAAATATAAGATCGCTCAGAATGATTAGAATAAAAAGTAGTGACGTAACTGGAAAAAAGTTGTAAGAGGGAACTAAGCTCGTCTAGTAAATAGTCGATACATTCATCAAATTACAGTTTGTGCAAATATGACCTTATAGTTTTTTCAGTATATATATACTTTCTACTTTTGAGCGCACGTGTTTTAACATTTTAAGAGATTCCCTTGTAAGAAAGCTGTGATTAAGATAGAAAGGAGGAGAAGATTATTACGATCAGAATGTTACGTCAAGCATATTTTTTTGACAGTCAACAAATCTTAAACATAACTATCAAACTCTATCAGTAGATAGAAGGTTCATTTAGAATACTAATTATGGATGACTTATTGAAACTCAATGGATAAAGCCGATATTTACACTAACCCCCTCCACAATAGAAGGTCCTCCTGTATTAGACAGCCCCCCTGGAGCAAAAGTCGGAAAAAAAACGCCCTAGGGGATAGGGGGATTTTGCCACAAAAAAGTGCGAGTTCTGAAACCAGTAGAAGAGCCCATATCTTTTATTACGAGAGGGGGAGGGACTATGTTGTTATTATGTTTTGAAAACTCTATCAATGGAAAAAATAAATGTCTCATTCATTTATAATTTTCCCTGGCAATGTCTGTTAGAATTTTATTATTTGTTAGATTAAAGTTCATAAATATTACCATATGTTATTATATATATAACAAAAAAAAAATAAAATTATCTAAAGATAAGCAAATGAATGATACGTACTCTTCCATTGCATCGACAATCTCTTCGAAATTGTTTAAAGAAAGTGTATTTCGATCGTAAAATATTGTATGTAAATGACGATTTATTTTTATTATGTGTGTCAATACACGTACACCAGCATCACCCATTAAATTTCCTCTATTTATGATATAAATATTTATATAATATAATAAAAAAAAATTGATTCTATGTCGTATTTTATTTTTACCGGATATCGAGAGTTTTCAATGATGTATTGTTAAGTATTGAATAAAGAAAATCTGCTGTATATTCTTTCAATTTTGAATCAGTAAGTGATAAATATTCAAGTTCCTAAAAAGAATAATAGATCTATGAGTTTTTTCTTATTTTATTTATTTACATTTTCTAATACAAGATCTTTCATAACATTAATTGTTCGTTGCATATGTCTAGAAAATATTTCTGAATAGAAAATAAAATATTAAATATGATTGAATTACTTTGCTTTTATATTATTAAAATTTTTGCCTAAATGCAACGATTTTAATTTTCGATTCTTTTTTAATTCAATTAATAATGTTGACATTTCATTATCCAAATCTAAATCAAAGATTATGTAATAGATCAATAGATGAAAGCGCATTATGAACTTTGAACTCGAACATGCTAATCGAAGAATATCTCAAAATCTTTTAATACCAGTTGTAGTAAATGCAATGCTATTTATAGATAGATAAGAAAAACGATTTTTCTATACAAATAAGCTTAAACATGTATTATTATTCTAAGACGTTGTTTGAATATTAGATGCAGTGAAGTAGAATGATGACGTGTAGGTTTTATATACTAGGTGGGTGACGCCCACCCCAGGAGCGAGCGAGACTTAGACGGCGCGTACCCACCATTTCGATTCGCACACTCGAAAAAGAAGGAACCTAGATGAAACACTACATCAGATATGATAATATTTGAATACACTTCTTTTTTATATTGAAATTCTTGTGTTTAGTCACTAATACATCATTTACACGAACTATCAATACTGTAAAATATAAATTAACACTCAGGTCGTAGAATTGAACGATATGTCTATAGTGCGATTCATCCTTATCATTCAGTGTCAAAAGAACACGCATATTTTACAAGTTATTATTTTCGTTAGCCTTGCGTTTCGTTATCAATTACTATAATTTGCAGCGTTCTGAGTTTCTTCTGACGTTTCCGCAGTGGCGTAAAGAGGGGGGGGCGTGGGGCGCAATACCCCCCTGCTTTCGAAGACTAATGGGAAAAAAGGGGTTTACGCCCCCCCTACTTTTGAAAATTTCGTTTTTTTGGTCGCCAAAATAGAAAAAAAAGGTTGCACCCCCCGCCTGCTCTGACACCTGACTTATGCCCCTGCGTTTCCGAATACAAGAATTTCATCTTGACTTCGATACTCTATAACTCATAGGTTTTTCTTGAGAGATATTGTATCCAATAATATTTTAATAGCATATTTTATTTTATACATACCACATCCAGTAATATCAAGTGCAGTTAAACTAGGAATCGTTGCAAAATGATGTGCATATTCACGAATAAATGCTTCAAGTTGATTTCCTGATAGACGTAGATCAAATTTATTCAAATAAATATTCGAATGAAGACCATCACATAATTCTCTATATAATTAAGAAAAATAAAATTTTGTTCCTTTTTTTTTGTTATTCTATTATACCTGAGAAAATCATTAGATAAATTCGCATTGGTTAATTGTAAAATTTCTAATGTTTGATTTCTTGTAAAAAATGTTTTTACACCACCTACGTTTACTGTTGGATTGGAAGACTTAGTAGATGATATAAATAAACGACGAAGTTTACATGAAAATGTTGCTAATGAATGAAAAAACTAGACAAAAAAAGAAATATTCTTATTTCAAATGTTTAGAAATTTACCGATTCAAGACTAAATTCAACATCACTTAAATGCAATTCTTCTAACATATTATCATTATTAGAAAATAGAATTGTAATACACTAAACAAATAAAATATTGAAAAAAAAATATTCAATAGATGTAATTTACATTTTCTTCTTTAATACGATTTCCTGATAGATTAAGAGTTTGAAGATTTTTTAATAAACAAGTATTATTCATTAATGTCGTATGGAATGTTTGTAAACTTTTATGAGTTATTGAACATGATTGAAGATTAATAGATCGAAGTGGTAATTTACGTTGTTGTAACGATGAACTTAAATTAATTAAACCTGAAAATAAATTAAAATTAGATTAAGAAAATATAAATTTCGCTTGACTCTCAAAGCATGGGAAGAATACTTATTAAAACATTTTAAACTAATAGTAATCATTTAACTGTATAATATCAAGTATCAGTGTTTGTTACCTGATTACAGAAAAAAATAACGCTACAATATCGATAAGATTTCTCTAGTTAGAAGAATTGAAGTATGTGCTTATGGCTTGAAAAGAAATTTTTCTTTTTTTGCTTGAAGGTCTGTTATTTGTGTAACATGTAGGTGAAAAGACATCTGTTTCTTTTCGAGATATTAATTTCTATTGTTCTATCTGTAAAGGGCAGAATGTTCATAAGAAGAAAAATGAATATTTATTTTACATGTCCTTTAGATCTTTATTGATAATTTATAACAAACTATCCATGCGTAACTTGAATGGCAAATTGAAGTCTTGTTGTGCATTTTAGTCAACTATATATGTAACAAATTAAATCATTTTTTATACAAGGCTAAAATTATGATTCTAGTAACGTTATTAAATCATGTACTGAAGTGAAACCTAGGAACTTCGCATTAACAATGTTGAAGACGTTCAGTGGTCAACTGTACTTCATTACTTAATGTGAAACTAACTACCTTTCGTATGATTCTATTTAAATTAAATGCTGTTGATTAATTATGTACTTTCATTGATTATTAAGATTAATATGAGCTTATTTCTCCCGAATACTTAATACTAATATTGATTTTTGATGAAATAAAACCATTACCTTTATCTTCAAGTGTATTATTTGATAAATCAAGATTTTCAACACAAGTAACTGATAGACAATGACCGAATCGTGTGCCAAAATCCCTAAAAAGATCAGGTAAATAATCTTTTTTTTCTTTCAGCGATAATTAAAAATTTGATTACTTTGTTAGACCACAATTAACTAGACGTAAATCTTTAATTGTTTCACATAGACGAGTAACAGTACAAAGTTCGTCAATATTTTCCGATGACTTCAAAGTAAAAGAAATTACAAAAATAAATATTGATTTACTAAACATACCAATTTCGTATTTTCAATAGTTAATTTTGTAAACCATTCATTATGTCGTAATGCATGAATTATGGGTAACCAATCCTTTTGAGTGAGTGATTCGAATTCACGAAATGTAAATTCACGTGATACACGATGAGCAAATACGTTATCAATAAGCTAAATTAAAATTTTTTTTTAAGAATTTTTTCAAAAAAAAACTAACATATTTGAAGTCACATCAATCGGGGGGCAAAAATAGTATGCAAAGGGTAGATGGTAGCAATAATTGTCTAATATAACTATTTTTAAGAAATATCCTGTCTGAAAATAGAATGAGCTAACGATAGGACCGTTTTTTTTTAGGAAGGTTATCCGTGTGCAATGTACGCATTGTACTTATCAAAGTCATATGTCTCAAGGAAAAACTGAAACACATACTACATAATGATATAAAAGTTGGATCTACGAGAGATTTAGACTAGAACTAATCCTTCCCATGGATGCGAATTTCTTTTACTTCTAGACAGTACTAGCGAATCCAGTTATTAAGAACCTGTTACTTTCCTTCTCGATCAAATTAACCTTGGATAGTCTATTTTTCTCGATTTATAGTAAAAACTCCTTCATTGTATAGCTCTTTCTATTTTTTCCCTCTTCAAATAGCATTTCAAAACCATGCAATTTACCATTAACCCATAAAGCTCATATTTATCAACTAATAAAATAAAACATTTGAAAAATAAAAAATTATCTGTTTATAAAGCTAAACAATCTAATTTCATTTAAACTTACATTTTGTACATATTTATGACATGATGATTGAAAAAGATCACAAGCACATTCATAACGAATAGAAAATCCTCCACATGGACGAATACCATTCAATATATCTTCATAATATTCATTTGATAAACGTAATAATTTATCATATTCATTCTCAGGACGAATTTCGACACTAGAAAATATTCATTTTTTAACAAACGAGAAGAAAATATACATACATTGCTTGTAATCTATGAGGAAAAACAGCATGTAAATTTCGAATAAGTATAAGAAGAAACGGTTGTATTGATGCTTTATCATGCAAACTATACAATGAATGAACTTGTTTTTCTTCTGTTTCGATAATAACCTATTTTAATGAAATATACAATCAAAAAAAACGAAAGAAACTTTATTTAAATATTTTACATGAGAATCACTTGTTCGATCTATTAGTTTAATTGATAAAATATTAAATTGTGATTCAATCTAAATAACAAAAATTATATGTATATATTTGTTTTTTGAAAAATTAGTTTTTCATACTTTAACAGGAATTTTTATTGAACAAATATACACACGAAAAGCATTCATACACTAAGAGAAGAAAAGAAAATCAATATGAAAGAATTAATATGAATAATTTTCTTACTAAAAATCTTTCTTCAACTTTTTCACCTTTTGTTCCATAACGAATGCGACCATTAAAATAAAATGATGAACATTTAGTCACATTTCGTGCACTACCTGAAATTTAACAGAATATTTATTAAAATACAACAGAAAAAACGAAATGAAATCTGATCTATTACCAATTAATTCAGAAAAATCGTCTCGATCACTCATCTAGAAATAAATAAAAAATTTGTTTAAATAATTTGATTTCATATTCTGATAAATCAGGATTATATCGAAGAACAAATGATTGATTGAATCAATGAAAAAAATTTTTCACCTCACCTGATCGATCAATCATTGGCAATATATATGACAAATACAGGTAAGTAAAATAAATAAGTCAACAAACAAACGAAAAGAAATGAATCATAAGACAGATAAGTAGAATATACAGTGTGTAACAACTAACTAACATGCATATGGTAGAATGAGTCATCAATTATATTTGAAAATTTCGTATTTAAGCGACATCTATGAATAGAGTACATATATTATTACTAAATGTGTGCACGTTGTTCAGAGAATACATCGAATAGTTACTTTTACCAGAGCAGAATAGAGTTAAATTCAGTGGCGGATCTAGAGTGAGCGATTGCCCCCTTACCTTCAGAAAAATTTTTCGATTTTTTACAGCAAAAACGAAGGAAAAAACAGGTTCACACTACTTCGATTGGACTCAAAAAATAGTTTTTAGCCAAAATCGTCCCCCCTCCCCTTCCAAAATCCAAGATCTCCACTGGTTGAATTCAGCCCGGCTATTGAAGATTTTAAAAAGAAAATGATGTACCTTTTCTAAATAACTAGATCAACCCAATGTAAGTTAATTTAAATTAATGCGTCGATTAAAGACGTTAAACTCTTGAACCCAGAGGAGAACAAGGCACAGATAAAAGTTATATAAGTAGAACAGTTTCATTGTCCTCACGAGTTTGTTGTTGAAAATATGGTACTGTTTAGTCGTTTATTGTTTAAAAAGAAAGAAAGTTGTTGACACGTAAAATGCAAATGTAAAGTTATTCAATAAAAAGAAGAAACATTAGAAATGACATTAAATGCCGTTTTTGAAAATAGGTAAGGGGATGTCCAATCAGCAAATCGTTTTTGGTGACACCATTAGTTACTCACTCTCAAAAACGATTAAGAAAATGACATTGTATATATTCTATTAAAAAGAAACAACACTATTAGTCAGCACTGTTATGTACATTATTAAATAACCATGAGAAATAATTTTATCGTCAGAGTTAGAATCGAACCGATTGGTTTATAAAATTTTGAAAATAAAAGTTTTTATCAAGTTTTTTCTAAGATTCGAATAAAAAAACCTTCTCAAGCTCTTGAATGCCTTTATACAAAATGTAATCATTTTTTGATATATTTAAAAACAGAACCGATGAAATTTATTTTTTTGTAATTTACATATTAATTTTATTTTTATAAAAAGAAAACAAAGACTAGACTCCTTCTCGAGTTGGATGAAAGTCTGATTGGGGTGTACTTGTTGAATTTAATAAACGTGTATCCATAACAGAATATCGTTTCATATATTTTCGTTTCGCATCAGTTGCTCCACATTTTTCATCGTGAACATCTAACAGAGGTGACCGTGGTGGACTAATTATTGATGATTGAGGATTTGGGCTACGAAATTGTTTAAAAAGTTTTTCAGCAGTTATAGCATTATTTTCACCATATTTTATTGTATACAATGTCCATAATTGTTCAAGTATTTCTTGTACAATAAAATCAGAGACATTAACTGCTAACATACGTAGAAAAAAGAAACCATCTGGTTCTAAATATTCTGTTATAAAACATTGTACAAGATATATATGTACACTATCGCCAAGCTCACGGTTCCCTTCTTTAAAATCAATACGAAAACGTGGTATTTCTTCACGTGATGTACGTGTAAGACGTGAAAGTATATATTTATGTCGACTGCTAGAAGAACCAATACGTCCAATCCATAAGCATAAACAATAACAATTTAACAAAAATACAGCAACAAACCAAACCCAAAGTAAAGTAAAGACTTGCTAAAATAATAATATTATATGAGATTTATATTTTGAAACTTTTTTTGATTCTTCGTGTTCTTTGCAGACTTATCTTTTTTCAAATATATTATAATAGATTGATTAGAACGAAGAGAATCTTCACTAATTTCTCTGACACCTCAAGTGAATAAAGCAGATCAGCCAACTAAAATCTTTTAAAATTTGCACAATAAAATCACAAACGAATTAGACGTACGAATTTTATTTAATTAAATTATTACTAAATTTAGATATGCACTAGTTCTAGTACACTGGGTACTAAATCATTTGATCTTTCATTCATCTATCGATCAGTATTGTTCTCTTTCAGAACATGTGGTTATTAATCGATTTTCAGTCTTTCAAAATATTTTCAACCCTGAGGTATCCCTCAAGGATTGAAAAACATTCATTTTACCTAGAACAACAATTTTATCGCTTAATTATCTTTAGTTTGGCATAAAAACAATATTTTAGAAGTTTGGAACTTAACATGCACTATTAAAATTATTCTTTCACTAAATTAATTTGTTACACACCTCTGAGAGAAACCAAGGTCGAGAATGTTAAGAGACTGAAAATCGATTAATTACAACATATTCTAAAAGAGAAGAATAGTGGTTCATAAATGAATGAAGGAGCAGATAGTTTAGTACCCAGTTAGGACTCGAACTAGTGCATGCTTACTACTAATTAGTATCTCTCATGGTACTATCGGCATTATTCTATCATCCGACTTCCATTAGGATTTCCTTGATCTTATAGGAATGTCAATAAAAAGTCGGCTATGGGAATTATCCAATTATTTTTATGAAACAAAAGTGATATCTAATATATTTCAATATAATATAAAGACGAAAGCAAAACGAAGTTGCTACATCTTAATACAACTAGAATAGTGCCTCACACGGATTTTTACCAGTTGGTGAAATTTCAAAATCCGAGAATAATAGCTCCGCTTAGTCATTTTACTCATCTGATATAGTTAAAACATCTTTTACGCTATAGATAGATAAATATTATAGTTCGGAAATATTTTTTGTACACTAAAACAGAATCTTCGAAAAATAAAGCAATGTATTAACTCATTACATAAGTCTTCTCAATTTCATCTACAATGGTTTAATTCAACTTTATCCAACCTCATTGTATCTCCGACATAAACATATTTTTACCTGATTAAATAGATTCACAGTTAATACACATTGTACAGTAATCCGTTGTAATGGTTGTCCACCACGTAATGGTTCACGTACATGAAAATCACAGAAAGTTTCTCGAGGAAAATATTTCGATTCCGGTTGATTAAGTCCATAACGAAATAATTTAATGCTTTCATAACCAAATTGTAAAAAATTTGTATTAAGAAACACATTAAGTAAACAAATTTGTAAAACAACATTTAATATATACCAGATCCTTAGTAAACAATAAAGAAATTTTAAATGAAACAAATAATAATTTATTTACTTAATAAAGAAATAAAGTGTAATAAAATAATTGCCTAAAAATTTTCCAGTCATACAACATATCAATTGAAAAACTTTTCTAAATAATGATGTTTGTCGAATTTCAGCATCTGTTTGTCGACGTGCATCATCAACATACATATCAATTGTATCAACTATATATTTTATTAATACTCCACGGTCATCAAATGATTTTAAATTTTTTGTATCATCAGCTGCTTCGACTATATCAAGAAGATCAATACCTGAACGAACACTTAATGTACGCCATATTAATCGTGGCAGATAAAAAAATAATGCCATTAATAAAAGTATAAATGGTACCCATTGATAATAATTCAGTTTATTATCTCTCCTAAAGTAGTAATAAAAAGAAATGATTGCTTTATGACATATAATATTCAAGATAAATATGTCAATTCTTATAAACTAAAGTTCACATTTTAAAATTTGGGTTTGCTAGGAAATATTCGTAGAGTACATAATAACTATTTTTGTATTTATTGAGACTGTAAGTCATTGCAATGCCCTTGTAATATACTCCCAAGGCAAATTTTTATTTTTATGAATCGCTAGAGAATATTTAGTAAACGCTTATTTTTTTAGTAAATAATTTTCAGATTATAGTAATAAAAAGGTTAAGATTCTAAAATAGACAAGAACGAAATAGAGATATCTGATGGGAATATTTCTTTATGATTGTTTATTTTTATTCTATGTCATATATACGGGTGCAAAGTATCGATTGATCGCCTCATGATGATAGCGATATATAGATAAGAAGAAGCTAGTAAAGAATCATTCAAGCACATATTGACATTTATCAAAGAGATATAACACAGATGAATTGATATACTGAGTTAGTTAAGAACTAAAGGGAATTAGAAATAGTTTGTATTTTTTCGAATGCTTTGACTTTCAATAGTTCTTAATCGATATAGTAACCAAGGACAGGTATATCGTTATCATTTTCCTTGTAATCGTAACTACAAATTGATGATATCAAATTATGTTCTCTATAAATGACATATGTAGATTACATATTTTGGTACTAACGAGAATGAATTCATGATGTTTTTCTATTGTTTCTATGAAGTAAGTTATTACAGACTGAGTATTTTGGTAAAGAACTTCGTGTACAAGTAAATATAACAACAAACAAGTTTTATTTACATTATTCTATTTGACTTTTTGTTTTAAATAAGATATTTTACGAAAACTTACAAAAGAAACGTGTTCTCTATTAGACAAATATTGATGTTTAACAACGCAAAGCCATAGTTTTATACAAGTTTAATTTACATAAGTCATTATATAACAGATCGGAATCATCAATACTTTCCGAAAGTTTATAAAGTAATCAAATATTATCTATAATAAATATCTACATATAGCTACCTTTATAATTTATTGAAAAAAGTCTCTTCAACAGAACAGGACACGTCTTATATCAGTCAATGTAGCAACAATTGTTCTGTCAATACTGATGATTGACATCATATTAACATATCATGATAAGAAACTATTTAAAAACATATCGTTAAACATTTACATAAAGTAGTCGAAATTGTTATTCTATTAAGCAACGATTTAACGCTTCATGGTAGCAAAATGAATATAAGCGTTAAATTAAAATAGTACTATAGATATGTCAACCTCGTTAGAAATACATAACATCAAACAAAAAAAAAGACAATCAAATAATGTATGTTTTTCAACTTTTGTCACAACACATCTCGACGAGAATTACGTAACAATATATACGAAAATATGAACTAGTCAAATAGAAAATCATGTTGTATCTTAATTTAAATAAAAACTCGATATATTTGATGATATTTTGTATACATCACACGTTTTTGTATATCTTTTTGATTATTATAAATGCGTCTTATGCTAATATGAATTTGTTAGTAATTTATATTTACATAAATAATTTTAAAATTTATTTATTCTGTTAAAAAAAACAATTTTTTCTTACCTTTCTTCTATACTTTGAGGTATTGATTGATTCCGATCTACATAATATGTTGATGATATATAACATATTTCATTAGTATATTGTACATATGCTTTAATAAAATTTGCTCGATTCCAACATTCAATTCTATCATCATCAAATTGTTTCGATGCTGTTAAAACTGCAAAAAGAACAAGTAAAGCAACTGTATATTTATAATTTAGTTTATCAAATGCATCATCATCTGTTCTTAATGATGATAAAAGTATTGTTGGTACGAATGCAATAATAGTAAGTAGATCAACCATGACGCTTTTTATTTTATAATATAAAAATCATCTTAAAAAAGAAAATTAATTGATATATATGCTATATTTATTCAAAAGTGTTCATTCTAGAAAAAAGAAATTTACTTGTCTATTTGTCTACTCAAACGCACACTATATTTCTTGTGGCTTGCGACCGCATTGACGCTTCCTTTCTTTCCCATATGAGGAAAAAAAAGATGTTGGCATAGAGAAAAGAAAAAGTCGCCGCAAGAAAAAAAAAGAGTTACATTCCTTCATCTATCACTCTCGGTCGTGCTATAACTATGCATGTATTGAAGTGCATTCATGTTTGCCTTCGCTATACAAGGAACACATTCAGAGAGCTATGACAAAGAGAAAAAAGAGCAAGTGAAATATAGTAAGAGAACAGATGCATTTTATGTGTGTGTATAAACATATAGGTATATGCATATACGTGTTATTCAAGGTTTATTCATAGAGATACAAACAAAAAATAACCCATATTTACTATATACAATGACTTTGATTGTTGTCAACTGACACAATTTGATAATGAAGTTAGTATTGATGATATAATGATTCATCGAAAGTTTCAAGTATTTATTATGAAGAAAATTGATCATAATAATAATTTTAAACTTGTCACGTAGCAGTACAAAAAGGAAATAGATGTTTTTGTTATATAACAAGAATAGTAGGACATGGTTAATAGATGATATATTTGCTATTAGTAAAGACAACAGAAGTAGATCAAGATATAAATAATAACATGGAAGTATAATCATTATTAATACATTGAAATATAACAGACTTCTAGTTTTTATAAACACTTCTTTTCAGTAGCGGATCTAGGATTTAGGGGGGTGGGGCGATCGCCCTCCCTCCCCTAAATCCGCCTCTGCTTCTTTTATACTAAATGAAATAAGGAAATTCTATCTGTTACACTTCACCGTATTGTGCAATAATATAAATTAATCAGCATATAGCAAAATGAATTTTAAATTATCAACAAAAAAAAACCATATTTCCAAGTTTAAATTAGCTAATAAATATATATACAGGAACGTGCCTTAAAGAAAAAAGTGGAGGTGCGCAACCCTCCCGCATTTCCTTGTGTATATATATATAGAATAGCTTATGGTCATTAGCGACAAATCTGATCATTTTTTCGAACTGTTTATTGTAGAAAATTATATATAAGACAATTAATGAAGAGGATGCATAAAATAATAAATAATTCGTGATGTTTAATTTTTCATAAACACTAAGCTGATGTTATATATATATTTAGATTTACAATTATATTATTAACAATCAATCTTTCACCATTATTACTTCGTACATTCTTTCAATTTTTTTTCTTAGTATTCTAAAATGAATAAAATTTGATCTACAAAAAACAAACAAATCTTTGCCAAATACAAAAAAAAAGAAAGAAAGAAAGAAGATTTTGTTGATAAATTCCGTTATTCATAGTCTTTAATATCTAAATAAATATACAAAATATATAATTAGTATTCAATAGAAAAATAAAATCTCTTTCTAACCTGTAATAATTTGGTTTAAATGGTCCAGCTTTATTAATACCCAAATATTTGCATTGTTCATCTGTTAATTCTGTAAGATGAGCATCAAATGCAGGTAAGTGAAGACTTGCAACATATTCATCTAAATAATTAATTTTTTCAAAAAAAACCTTGTAGAAAAAAATCCTTCATACCCATTTTTTTCGGTAATAAATAAACATCACATTTATAACGATTTGCTGGTGCATTAAAAAGTTCAATCAAAGCTAATGCCTAAATATTTGTATTTACAAAATATTAGATATACAAAAAAAATTTTTCCTAATACTTGAGTTGCTGCTGTAATTGAAACAACAAATGATGGTACACTTGAACAACATAAATTCATAATACGACCCTACGAAATAAAAATATGATTTGTTTTAGTTATAATTTAATAGAAATTAAATTTATACTTCAGCAATTAATACAATTCGTTTACCATTTGGCCATATAACATGATCAACATTTGTTCGAACACGTTCAACTTGTAAATCATTTGTTGATGAATCTCGTAAAAAGCTCTAGTTATTAATAATAATAATTAAAATTAATTATTAAAGAAAACTATCATATACATACAACATCAATTTCTGTATTTGAATGTCCCATATTACAAAGAATGGCGCCATTTTTTAACTTATCTAATGATTCTCTTGTGATAGTATGTTTACTTCCAGACGCTGTTATAATCATATCAGCTTGTTTGATAACTTCTTCAAGACGAACAACTTTATAACCTTCCATACTGATCGAATAAAAAAAAAGATGAACTTAAAGGTTAATTTCATAATGAAAAATTTACCATGCTTGTAAGGCACATATTGGATCTATTTCTGTTACATAAACAAAACAACCCATTCCACGTAATGCTGAACAACAACCTTTACCAACTTCACCTAATAAAAATTAAAGATTTTTTTAGAATAAACTTGAATTTTGATATTAATAGAAAAAAGAAAAATTACCGGACGTCATTCTCACCGTCAATGAGATTAATTGTGGATGCTCAGAGAGAAAATTACTAAGTTTAATAACATCTAATTGAATGAAGGGAAATATTTGACATTACTAAACTCTATATATAGTAGCCTTAAGTCAATTAGCTCTAAGAAATTTTCATTAACTAATCTATTCATTTGAATTATTAGTATTATTATTAAAAATCTATTCAACAAACCATATCCACAAACAACGGCTTGTTTGCCTCCAAACATAATATCAGTACATCGTTTTATTCCATCAATAATTGATTCTCGACATAAATATAAATTATCAAATTTTGTTTTTGTCACACTATCATTTACGTTCATAGCTGGTACGGCTAATGTTTGTGTACGACACATTTGATATAAACGATGAACACCAGTAACGGATTCTTCAACAATACCTTTTATTGTTGAAAATAATGTTGAATAATGTTTATGAAAATAATGTGTTAAATCTCCTCCATCATCTAATATCATATTTGGTTGCCAACCTTGTTCAGCTCCAATAGCTTTTTTAATACACCACCAGAAATCATCATCGGTTTCACCTTTCCATGCAAATATTGATATAGATTCTTCAGCTAATGCAGCAGCTACTTCATTCTATTAAAATATATATATATATATATATATTGACTAGTCTCATAAATAAAATAAAAAAGAACAAAGGAATTTACTTGAGTAGAGAATATATTACAAGCACACCATCGTACTTGAGCACCCAATCGTATTAATGTTTCGATTAAAACCTTTAGAAAAAAAATAAATAAAATAAGAAATAAACTCAATATTTTTGTAATTCTTACTGCTGTTTGAGCTGTTATATGTGTGCAACCAATAACTTTTGCTCCTTGTAATGGTCTATCACTTTCAGCTCGACGACGTAATGCCATAAGACCTGGCATTTCTAAAGCAAAAACAAAAATTAAAGATTTTCATTTTCTTAAGAGAAATCTAATCATTCTTAACACCATAAATGTAATAGGAAATGTAGAAGTGTAAACTGGTATATTTCGGAAGCACTCAAAATAAAAGAAGTACGGTCTCATTATAAACTCTATTCATTTTCATATTACTAGAAAAAGCTCTTGTTTTTTCTTTTGCTATATTACATATTCAAAAATACAAACCTTGTTCAGCAATTTCAATTTCTCTTCGACCATATTGTGCATGTTTAATACGTCTAACAGCAAAATCGGTAAAACCTGATGCATTTTTCTACAATAAATAAAATATTAGAAAATAAAATATCTAATCTAAACTGACATGTTGCAATTCTCGTATATTTATACTACTTCCATCGTCAGCATCACTGTCACTATCACTTGCAGTTGCTAGAAAAGAAAAAAAGAAAAGAAAAGCATATTAAATCATGTCTTAGTTGTCTAATCTCTTATGAAAAATTTCATCTAATTCTTAACAAAAGATATATATCTCACTATATTGTCGATAATGATCTACATCATTCGATTCATTTTCATAATTTGAATTTATTGATGCTAAACGTTGTGATTGTGTTGGTTTATCGTTACCAGATGAACGACGTCGTATCAAATTTAAATCAATAAATTGAACAGATGTTCGACGATCAGTACGATATCGTGCTTTATCACGATCAGCTGCTGCTTCATCATTACCATTGTCATTATTCGACATGAGTTTATTGTGAATAAAAGAAAATTTTCTTTTTTTTTTGTATGACGATGAATACGTCAATAACAATAACACATATATATACACACACACACACAAACGAAGAAAATGAAGGGAAAGACGATGTTGCAGGAGGTGTTGGTGCCTCTATCGTTCTATGGTTCTGATAGAAAAACGAGTACGACATAATTTTTCTTCGTCGTTGTCTCCTCTTTTCTTTCTTTTCTATATAATGTATATATATTTATGTCTATATTTCAATGGTCTATGACTAACGCGGAAAAAGTCTAAAGAAAAAAAAAGAATAGTAAGCTATTCAAACTCACACACGCCTTCCGGGGCATTTATTGGAACACTAGAATCATTATTCAATTGATTTGATAATGCATGAATAAGTTTAATATCAAGTATTTGTAATGATGATCGTCGTCGAGAACGGTGTGCTTGTCGTTCTGATGTATAAGTTATATCATCATCATCATCACCGCCATTATCTTGTAAAGATTCATTAACCTTATCTTGTTCAGTTGTAATATTGATCGGTTGATTTTTATAATAATCTTTCGAGGATTCAGGTTTATCTCCCTGAGATGTATATTGTAAAAAGCTACTCTTTACTGACATGAGTTCGTAAATGAAGTAATAGATATTCGTCGAAGTAGCAAATGGTCTCTTTATTCAATAACAACATCAACAACAACAACAAGTCTTTTCTTTCTACTATAGCGAGTCGATGAATAGATGGATGAAACAATAATAATTCCAATATCTTTTACTGGCATGTAGTGTGTATGTCTATATATTTGTACTTATATATCTATGTTTGTGTCCTTCATGTCAATAACAACGCATTCTATATATTGCAACAACATAGAAAATATGCCCCATTTTTCTTATGTCATTGTTGCAAAAATAGATCTGCTATGGTTAGAATCATTGTATTTTCTTGTTTTTTTTCATTGATATAACAATGACGTTTATTTTCTATCTATACTTACAGATTTGTTCTTGAGTTTGTTGATCTTTATTTGAAAAACGTCTTTCAATTATATTGAGATTACTATGTAATTGATCATTATATGATGTTGAGGAATGGATAACTGATTGTGGTTCCAATTGATGGTAAGTATTCCTCTCAACATGATGATCGTTATTTATTAACGAAGTCGAACAACTATTTTGTACGATTGTTGGTTTCATAATAAAATTCAAACTATATACCTGCGATAGTGTACTTGCAAACAACAACCATCAATACAAATATTGAATTGAATAGTAATATTCAACTATAGTCATGTGGAACATTTGATCCTTTTTTTTCTCTCTCTTACGTCACGCTAATAAATAATTCTTTTCTTATACAATAATATTATTATTTCTTTTTATGTATATTTTTAACTTTTTTTTTATAGAAAAGTCGAAGATAATATAGGTATTTAAATATTTGAAAGCCCACTTACTTCCATCAGATAAAACTGAACTTTGAGAATATGAATATTGTCGACGTGTTGTTGGATCAAGGCAGATACGACGCTATAAATAAAACGCAATTAATGTTTTTTCAAGTAACTTAAAACGATTCATCTCATATTCTTCGATTATTAATCAGCATGGTTCTTATTTCAAACTGAATAAGAGTTCTTCATGTTACTTTTTTTTTCTCTTAGATAATAGAATTTTTTAGGATTAGTTTTTCACATACTTGTCATCCTTTAGATTTCCAAGAATATACTAAATATTAGAATATGTCAGACGAGATTTTCTATATGCGTGTGAAACAAGGATTCACATAGCTTAAAAATAAACTCGCGAGTTACAGTAGTTATATTCGTCTTAGTAAATTCTCATATACAAGTTAGTTCTATATTTGATCGTTTTAGGAAGTATAATGTCACAGCTGATTTAAATAAAGAATACATCAGTTACATTAACAACGGTAAAATCCAACTTGAAGAGATATGAGTTTTTTAATGAGTATTATTTTTTCGTTAGCAAGATTATAAGATTAACTTTTGTCCAATCTCTTTTGTAACAAGACTAAATAGTGCATTATGTAACCTCTTTTAAGTAATAAATAATTTCTTTTTTTGAAGGATCACACCCATCTTTAATGAGAATAGTTTATTGTGAATGTTTCACATTTTTCTGATAAAACATCGTTATGGCAAAACGCATTGATTATATATAGGAACAGATGCGAAATTTTCATAATAACTCTATCGTTATGTAAAATTCAGATATCAGCTGTCTTAGTATTCTTCTGAAAAACTACGATATTGTATCTCGACATCGATAAGTTACAGGTCCAAACTTTTTTCAGAATATTTATAGCTTTTTAAGGATTACAACTGAATAATGAGTTATTTTTCTTTCTTAGTTATTATAAATGATCTTTGTGAAAGGCTATATCACAAAATAAAATATTATCTTATCTATTAATCGCACATCGGTTAGCTTTTAATACATTACAATCTGACGTCTTCAATGTATAATTAAACTATAATAATTATATATGAAATTTTCATGTTTAATAACAATGATTATGATTGATAATTTTCAATGACGATGTTAGTATTACTTTTCAGTTAAAATTACTAAGTAAAAGGTTTGTATGTATTATTTTAGTTTATCATACACTTCTACTTAAAATAACTATCTTGATCAAGCTGTTCCTATTAGATTAGAAATCTGTCAAAAAAAATTCTCTTGAGAATACAGTGTATAATTTGAATAAAGTTGTTTTTATGGAGAAAAACAAAAA